TGATGACTTCAAGACAAATCACTTTTTTAATTTTAAACTATTAACTTCAATGTGTTAGTAAACATTCATTTAAATTTAGTATTCTATATTTAGATAAAAAGTTCTGCATTAAAATCCAGGTTTCCAGATTAACTATAAAATACAATTTAACAGAAAAACTAATAACTGTTTTTTATCAATCGCTTAAAGACTACAGATAGCTATGAATTAAGAAGCGTCTATGTGATTCTTTGTGTAGTAATCTATACTGCATGTTGCCTTGTAATTAGACTATCTTGTTACACAGAATAATTTATTTTCCATTTTTCTTTCCATATAATTTACTGTACTCAATCTATGTTTTAATGTAATCGTACTTGCTGAGATAAAATTAAAGAAATCTTCATCATTAATGGAGAAAGTTTGATATTTATCGATTTTTTTATCATAAAAATAAGATTTTATTTATTGTTAAAAGATCAAAGAGAAGAATAAAGTTTTAAAATACATGAAATTAGTGATCATTCAGCAATAAATAAAATATTATTTTTATTATAAAAAAATATTTTAATTTCTTCTCTAACAAAGACGATTTCCTCTAGTCCAATTATTTGTTTTGAAAAACTGTAAAGATAAAGTGACGATCGTAGTTCTTATATTCATTGTTTTCTCAAATTTCCCTTATTTACGTATGTACTTTTAGTTATTTAATTTTATATCTCAATAAAATGGATGTAATATAACAATACTGAATTGAATATAGGCTTATATGATTATTTTACATAAACCACTGGAGTGCATAACAACTATACAGAAGTACTCAAAAATTGAAAATACTCATGTGTTCTCATAACATTTCCTAGCGTGAGTACTTTTATAAGATCAACAACGAAGTAAAATTTTTATTCATAAGTTTCTTAATTAGTACCCCTCTCGCTCTATTGTTAATACTGGTTTCATGTAACAGAACACAATAACAATAATCGAAGATTTCAAACGTTTTACATAATAAAATGCTTATCGAAAAGCAATAAAAGATTAAAGAAAAGCACTAAAAACGATCTCAAAGTAACAAATTTGACCATTATTATAATATTGAATAGATATTTTCGTAGATATGAAAGACTCTTACAACACATAGTTACACTTGTTAATAGTATGATGTAATACTCTTGTATATGTTGTTGCATCATACTTGTTAACTTTCCATTTTGTGTAAAATTGCAATATATATGTTCTTGATGTTTGATCACTTCCTTTTTTTCGAAACTCTTTTCTCAAAATTATTTTTGTGAATCTCGACATGAGTTGATTTATTAAGTATTGATTTCGTATAGATTGTGCAAGATTCAAATGCATATAAGTGTTCTCTTTTCTGTTTATTTTCATAAGGTTCGACATAAAAATTTTTATTTATAAGAATATTTCATGTTATTTTGTCTTAATAATATTTCTTGTTTAGATTTTATTACTGGTATATTTATTGATAATCCTAATTCAACATCTGAACTATTCCAACAATAAGCCGCTATTTGGAATTATATTAGACTCACAAGAAGTCTTCTGTAAGACTAGAAAAACCCAAAGAGGATTCATGACCATAGACAACGGAAACCGAGTTACGAATATTTTACTCAATTTTTGACCTAAAATTCTGTTTATAAATAGGCCTAATGACTCTTAGAATATGCTGAAAGTATCAGATTAAAGGAATGTTTCTTTGTCGAGATAATGAATTTATAACAAATAATTGTTTGCCACAGAAATGTCACTAAAATCGAGTTTACTTGGAAATTCATTATTTCGAGAAAAGAGCATCCTTTTTGCCTTACACTTTCAGAATATTTCGAAGATAATTAGGCCTGTCTATGAACAAAATTTTAGGTTGAAAACTTAGTAAAACGATCATGATTCGGGTTCAGAAATTTATAAACACGACTTCTTTTGAACTTTTTCTAGTTTTACCGAAAGTTTCTTGTGCGTTCAAACGGCGCTTTACAGTTCGGGTAGTTTCCTCGTTAGTCTAAAGATTAGTAAGATAATAAATGAGTTATCATGTCAATTAATGATCGCATTTCATGTTTTATATCTTTTCTATGATGATGCTGATTTTAATAAATATTTAATTATAAACGATATGAATTTAGTATTAAATTTAACTGAAGATAATTGGAAAACATTAATTCAATATGGAAAAATAGGTAATAAATTGCATGAATTTCTCATTTGAAAAATGAATCTATATCAAGTCAATAATGAAAAAGTAAAACTTCAAATTTTGATTTTGAATATCCAAACTAACATGATGAAATTATTTCAAATATTGTTAAATTAATAGTAAATAAAACTGATCATTCAATTCAATTAATGATTTTACTTTTTCTTCAAATCGTGCTAATCGAGCAAAAATATTAACAACAAATAATGATGAATATTCTGATACAATTAATATTTCAGATCATACAAATGTTCCATTAATTGAATGTGCTATTTGTATGGAACAAGGACCATTTGTACTTTGGTTAAAAAAACCAAATAATCTTAATAATACAACAAATGATTTTATTATTAATTTCCCATTAGAAGGAAATGAAAATTTAACTAATTGTATTGTTTCAAATCCAGTATGTGATTTTTGTTCTAAATCTTATATAAATACAACAATGAACAATTTAAATGAATTAATAACTCTTTATCGAAAACCATGTTCTGGTTTTATTCCATTAAATTGGTCAATAGATTCAAATTGAAAATTTTCAAATTATGCACTTTATAGAATTTTAACAGGAAATAAAATTCTTCAGTCATGTTCAATCACTTTACCTATAGCGCCCTCATCTCTCACTCAGTCCTGTCCGTGTAAAACACACCAATCACTGTGAAGATATGATGGAAATAAGTAGAAACAAACGAACCGATTATATGTAGAATTTTTCGTCAATATTCATTCAATCAAAGATATTAATATCAGTAATGAAAAATTAAAAGAATTTCTAGGTAAATTTTATGATACTGCTATCAATCATATTGATAAACTTGCTGAAAAATATAGGCATTGATTGTTTAACAATACTTTCTAAAGAGATCGTGTCATTTGTTTTATATCTTTTAACAATTGTACTTATACATGATCAACTTATGAACTTATTTACTGATTTTGCTTTAAAATATCTAATACTTCGCAAGAATATGCAAATTAGATGGTTGAAATTTGGAAAGAAGGTAAATGAAGATGTATCTGGTTATTATCATTCTAAATCTGTGTCTTCTGTATTTGATTATGCAATTAATAATCTCGGACTATTTTCTTGTCCAAGAAAATTATTTTTCTATAGTCAACCATTATGGAAACAAGATATTGAAGATAAATGTATTAATGTAACAACATTGATGAATGAAATCAAAGTAAATCTTGATAATAAAATGAAAAAAATTTTATGAAAATGTTGCACCAATTACAAAGAGTACACATTTTCTCTTATATAAGATTCTTATTGATGTAAGGGTGCCAGCAATTCGAATTTTGAGTAAAATTTTTGGTTTCGGTTTTTTTTTTATATATGATTTCATAGAGAGTAAGCTGTTCATCATAAAAAAATAGTTCTTAACGTTAATGGATACTCTTTTCAGATCGGAAACATCAAAGGCTTGGAAAGTGTTATTTTTCTGCAAAAACATTTATTTGGAAATGTGCAAAATTTTCTGTTTTGCTCTTCTTTCCAACTTCTGAGGATATTATTTTCCGATTCAGCGTCAAAAAGTGAGTCTATACAAAATGTTATATCAAGTTCGAACCGAAAGCACTTTTGGTGGTGGCATCTTGAGTCATACTCATTGCAGTACCTATAGGTCTTTTTTATACACATCTCTAGTTTTTTTTTGTTAATCGAAGAGGCTCAGGATTTTATCTTGTTTGGTTCATTATGATATTTGTCATAAAAGTATGCTATCGCTTCTTGTTAAATTTTGTTCTCTTGCTGAGAAATAGTATTTTCTTGAGTACCATACCCATTTTAACCGGTATTCCATGATTTTCGAATTCAAATCAGACTTTTACACAAAAAAAATAATGCATATTTACAATTAGTACAAAAAAGTTGTCAAATTGACTTGAAAGATACTTCAGTTGACTCAGTTTTTTTGTGCTAATTGTGAATTTGTATTAATTTTTTTGCGTAAAAGTCTGATTTGAATTCGAAAATCACTGAATATTGGCTAAAATTGGCATGGTACTCAAGGCAATAACATTTCTCAACAAGACAAAAAAGTTTTTAAAAAAGCGATAGCAAACTTTTATGACAAATATTATGATGAATCGAAAGAGATAAAATGCTGGGCTTCTTCCCTTAACAAAGGCACCTAGAAATGTGTATAAAAATAGACGTATAGGCTATGCAATGAATACAACTCACGGCGTCACCACCAAAAGGGCTTTCGGATCGAACTCGATATAAGATTTTGTATAGACGCAGTTTTTTACACTGAATCTGAAAATAATACTCTCAGAAGTTGAAGAGAAGAGCAAAGCAAAAAATTTTGTACATTTTCAAACTATTGATTTTTCTGATCTGAAAAGAGCATCAATTAACGCTAAGAACTAATTTCTCATAATGAACAACTCAAGCTCTAGCAAACCATATGAAAGAAAAAGATGAAACCAAAAATTTTGAGATTTGAATTATCCACATCTTACTTGACAATAAATATCCTGATGACAGATTAATGAATGAATGAACAAATGATTATTGATTGTATGATTCATATTTGTCGAACTGCAGGAAGAAAAGGAAATATTAATGCTGATTATATTTTTTCATATGTTGTTTTAACAATGGAACATTAATTTCGTAAAACAACAAAAAATATGACTAAACCCTATGATGAAATGTTATCACGTTCATATCAATTTAAAATTATAACAGAATTATTTGCTAATGAAATGGAATAGGATGAAAAGAGAAATGAAGTTTTATTTGAATATTCAAAATTAAAAATTCCACATATGCTTAAATCACGCAATAATAAAATTGATTTCAAAGAATTTTAAAAAAACTGTTAGTGGAATCTCTGTGGAATCAAAATTTGAAACACGATGTAGTTGCTGTTACTATTCACAAGACGATTGTTTAATTCTATCTATTTTGTGATACATTTCTTCATCATCTTTTTACTTAGTACTTCAGAAATGCAATAAAGATGTAGTTTATGTATTAGAACGAGACGTTATTGATATACGATCTTTGGTTGTATGTCAACAATGTCTTTCACAGTCTGGGAGGGAGATGACGAAAGTGTGTCCAAATTTCTACTTCTATATTTCAACACTCCTTTTAGATCGATTTCACAAAACGTATTCAAGACTTTTATATGACTTCGAAAAAGGGTTCAAATAAGAATAAGAATCAAACATGTGTTAATATTGAAATACAAGATTTTATTGAATTTGGTTATGAAATGAATCCAGATGATCTTATACCTATATGGACACAGTACGTATTTGTTTTGTAGAAACATTGATACCAATCAGACAAATTGGAATGTCTCTACTACTCACAAATCATGAGTATCTTTTTTTTTCAATCGACTTTATGCCAGTTTTTTTTTTGAACACAATGAGCTTATCAAGATAGCATTATGCGTTTTTCACTGTAGGCATCATTGAGGAGTTAGGTTGATCTCAATTGGAGAAAAACGAGTGTAAACTTTTATTTCAAAAATGTTAGTTCTCGTGTTAATTTAGTTTTCAACATTCCAAAATTGAACACCGGATACGTCCACTTGATACGCATCCAATGTTCAAGTTTTCGAATACTGAAAACAAAACTAAGACGGCAATTAAAATTTTCGAAATAATACCTGAGAAACAACAGACTTCAAGTACAGACACTTTCAATTTTCAAGAAACCTCAAAAGATTTCGTAGAATCCAAGGAGATTTCAAGATTAAAGTGTCTTCTGTTTCTACCTTGACTTGATAGCACCATGATCAGCTCATCGAGCTCTACAAATTGATGTAAGGAGACCTTTTCTTGCTAGTGAGAAACACAACTGTCATTTCTTTGTTTATTTCCTCCTAACAAATAGAATTATGAGTTAATAAATCTAACTTTAGCAAGTTAGAAATTATGGTATATAATCATATACATTTCATCCACTCGTTGTTTCTTGAACAGTTATAATAACTCTAATGTTAACTTTCATGAATCGAGATATGTTTAGTACGCTGTATTGTCAGACAAAAAGATATTAACGTAAAATTTAGAGAAGGAATTAATCTTATTTTTAAAATATTTTAGAGAACAAGAGAATATTGTTCCATCAATAATCACTAATATTGATCAAATCGAACAACCAATAGAATATGTAGCTGGTTTAGATATAAGTTTTGTTAAAACAAATGATAAAGCTGTTGCATCTATGGTCATTTTTAATTATGAAACATTAAACATCGTTGCTAAAATCAGTGTTAATTGTCATATGAAAATTCCATATATACCCAATTATTTAGCATTTCGTGAAGCTCCAGTTTTTATGAGATTAATTGATATTCAAAAAGAACGTTGTCCTCATTTAACACCACAAGTTATTTTAATGGATGGAAATGGTGTTTGGCATCCTCGTCGTGCTGGTATTGCTTCACATTTTGGTGTTTTAAGTGGAATTCCATGTTTTGGTGTATCGAAAAATGTTCTTTATGTCGATGGTATTACACGAGAGAAAATTAAAGAATTATTAATTGAAAAAGCACCTGAAAAAGATCAATATGTTGAAGTCATAGGTGATAGTGGAGATATTCTTGGTTTAGCTTATAATGTAACTGGTTCTGTAAATAGTGCTGTTTATATTAGCGTTGGACACAAAATAACATTAGCAACAGCTTGCAATATATTCAAATCAGTGACTAAATATCGTATTTGTGAACCAATACGACAAGCTGATTTACTTAGTCGGGAAATAGTTGCAAAACTTTCATAACTAAACTTGTAAAAAATGTTTTTCCACTAATCTGGAATTTTGTTGAACAAAATCTAATCTGATTCTCTCATTTTGAAATCTAATGATATTAAGAGAATAGCTTTCAATCATTTAGTCAACAAGTTCTTGTCAGATACTCTTGTCGTTTTCTTACTATGGCTGTTTTCCACTAGAGAGATAATTCATTTTTGTATGAATATAAAAGAAGAAAATGAAAACAACAGCATGCTAATATTATATTCGAATTACGAGAGTACACAATTTTAATGACCATACGTACCTAGGTCAAACAATCCGATTCTAAGATCTTACAGGATCTAATCTCTGATCTTGTAAGATCAAACAAAAATTGTAGAAAAACTTGTAAAATCTTACGGTAAATCGTATTATAAGATTCTTGAAAGATCTTACTCTCTTGTAAAATATTACCATAAGATCATAGGAAATTTTATTTGACGGCAAGACTACGAAACACCTTAAAATACAACATAGCGTAGGATGTTTGACACCACGATTTTTTATACGAGTTTTGTTTGATTTTGTAAGATCAGGGGTACGATCTTGTAAGATCTTACCGTCTGATTGTTTCACTCGAGTTTGTTCGGCTTCAATCGGTTTATTTTCTTAGGACAGTCTTTTATCTTGTATAATATACATATATCCATTCATAACAATTTTAAAACTAAAAGTAAAACACAAATATGGACTTATTAACCATAAGCGAAAAAAAAAAGAGAAGATATTGAAAATATGTACTTCTACTGAATTCAGTCAAAAGAAATATTTATAATTGCGGAAAAAATTCATATTAAAGAAAAAAAAAAACTTACTTACATCATTTCATAGAAAAAAAGAAAGAAGAACTTATTATTGGATCTGATCAATAAAATTATCTCAATGAAAACAAGTTAAGACTAGAAATGAATAAAACTCAAACTACATTATGTGTAATGAAATAAAGAAAAATATATAGACTTTTGTCTAATGATATAAAAAATAAATACGAAACTCAATGATAGCCTCTTTGAATACATTGTATCATATTAATACATAATCTATTTGTTTAATCATTGATCAACATCATACATTGTATATTTGATCTTTGAGTTGATATTAGTATTTCACTATTCACTTGTGTCACAGGTACGTAGATGCTTAATCAGCTTAACCTAGATATTAATATCAGACATCGTATAATCAACATTACAAACATAGTAATTCTGATAGTTCTTCATGTTTTTGTTATAGAATGAATTGATAATCATAGAAATAAATAAACATGAATGAAAACTAGGTGATTTAAATGCTAATTATAGTTTTATTCCGACAGTTTAGTTCATAAAATAGTTAAGATGTTAATATAAGAGGTTTTTCTATCACTCTTATTGAATTAAAATGGCGTTTCATAATGAACATTTTCGGAAGTCGCTATTGGATAATGTTTTGCTATTGATCTTGAATAAAAATCGCTGTTTTACTTCCAATCTTGTTCTTATTCACTCAAATTTGCTATGAAAGAAATACCTTGCCATATATTTCGATCATTCATGCATTACGTGTATAAGCGCAAACGACAAAAGGATAGATAGAATATAGATATGAAATCGATAACGTGAGTGTTGTAAGTGCGTTTGCCTTTACAAAACAACAGATATCCATCAAGTAAAGGTAATGTGCAATAATAATAAAAACCTTACTCACGATATTTTCACTTTTGAATAAATGAGAACAGGATCAATCATTAGCTAAATATTATGAATATTTAATATTTAAACAATTTTTAAATATTACTTTGCTTTCTCTATTGAGCAGTTAACAAATTTTCAACATTATTATGGGTTTACGACGATCAATCATATTATTAATGTCCTACATTTACCGATTTATTGTGTCAGCCAATCGAAATCCTTATTGTTGCAGACTTGCTATTCTTGCAACGATAACATATTTCATCATTACTGCATTTTTTCTATTAAAAAAACCGCCAGTGAGTTTAAGAACGAGTTTTGCTGACAATGATTTAAGACAACAACTATCGCAAGACGAGAAACAAATTGAAAATATTCCAGATATCATGAAAAGATCGTGTTTATCTTCCTGTATAAATAAAGCTTATAATAAAATAGCATTGTAAGTGTCTAGTACATCTAATACAAGAAAAAAAAATCAGATTAGACAATAAACAACTTTATATGACCATTCTTTTAGGAGACAAACCCATGCACCAATATCCCATGAAGCACGTTTACGTTATTCATTTATCGATATTGATCATCTTAATGTTGATATTGATTATCTTGATGAAGAATATCGTCCTTCACAACAATTAAATATCAACCTTCCATCGCCAAAAAGTCATCCATATACACGTATGCTTAAAGCTAAAGGTAATTTATCCGTTATCATATACAATCGATTACCACAGTGTTATGAATTTACTATGAGGTCATTATTACAAGGTATATCTTATCTTCATTCCTATACTTATATATCAAGTGAAATATATGTTCCATTTTCTTATGATAAGTCTGCATTAATATCGATAGCACGATCATTAAATAAACATGAATTTAAACAGTTAATATATGAACGACATATATATTTTTTTGATTATTATGCATTACAGTTTCCCAATCATCCCGTATGGATTAATTTAGTACATGATCCAATAACTCGAATAGCAACAGAATATGAACGTTCACGTGAAATTTGTCGAAAGACAAATCGTTGCTTTGTACAAAAAGATACAATAAATGAAACACTTAATGAATGTGTTGTAAAACGATCACCAAAAGAATGTATTTCATCTCAAAATGGTATTGCACGAATGTTACCATTTTTTTGTGGGTTAACATTTCCAAAGCGATGTCAAGAAGAAAATGATTGGGCATTACGAAAAGCAAAACAAAATATTAACCTTTTCTATTCAGTTGTTGGTATTGCAGAAGAATTTTATAAATTTTTATACGTTCTTGGTATGTTTTTTTTAATTTCAATTTAAACGAACTTGAATTGTACTGATAAAGTCTTGTTGTTTATCCTGAAATTGTTGATTTTTTTTTGTTTTTCCATTTAGAAAAACTTCTACCACAATATTTTAAACATGCTCGTGTTTTATTTATGAATCAACACGATCCAAAATTATTGGTAGATGAAAGAGATACAAATATTCAACTCCCAAATGAAAACACAAGGAAACTCCTTCAGCCACTTCTTACATACGAATATTATTTATACAATTTTATCAAAGAGCGATTTTTACTTCAATACAATATGTTGCTTGAGCTTGACAATTGAATTTTGTTTTGTGATTAGAAAAGAAAGAAGTTTGTTTTTTATTGTTCAGATCTATTCTGGAATTGTTAAGACAATTTTTTAAACTACGTGATACTTTTTATTCACGGTAGTAGATTGTTAAACGAAGGACAGATAACAACGCTCGTCAAAAATATCTCAAGATCGATTGATTATGAATCCACTCTTTTGAGTAGGACTTAATGATTAATGTTACAAATAGATTATTATTCATTCAAAAAATTAATGAACCTGGATGTATTGCGAATAAGTCAGGCATCGGAATAGTTAGTACTATGCAGTTTTCAGTATTTGAAACAGGACAGAAAATTTTATCAAATTATTAAATGGTAGTTAGTTGTCAGTGTCCATTTTCGAAACGATGCTGATAAAAATTTTCCCGTTATATGTTGACTTTCAAGATAATGATTAGATAGAGAAAATCAATGCCGATCTTTCCAGACATTTTCTGTGTTACGTTATAAGTGTTCTTCTGAAGTCGTTACAATCGACCAATTGACTACTGGTCAATCTGAAAATGAGGTGATATCAAAAGTTTTGATCATATTGGAACGAGTGACGATGTTTGTTTTATTTTTTTAAAGCAACATGAAAGATCCAACCAAAATTTCAAAATCGTCAGTTTAATTAAGTACTATGCGGGAACAATGTATTTTCATAATATCTATTTGATTACTTCAGTTACTTTTTAAAAAAAAGCAAATAGCATCACTCGTTCCAACATGATCAAAACCTTCGATATCAGCTCATTTTCAGATTGACCAGTAGTCAATTGGTCGATTGTGATAGCTTCAGAAGAACACTTATAACGTGACAAAGAAAACGTCTGGAAAGATCGGCATTGATTTTCTCTATCTAATTATTATCTTGAAAGTCAACATATAACGGGAAAATTTTTATCGGCATCGTTTCGAAAATGGTCACTAACAACTAACCACCACTTAATGATTTGATAAAATTTTCTGTCCTCTTGCAAATGTTGGAAACAGCATAAAATCAATTATTTCTTTGTCCGACTTATTCACAATACAATCTTATCCATTAATTTTTTTTTTGATGGATAGTAGAGTCTAGCTATTTAACTCTGAATACACATTCATTTATCTATTCTTCAAGTAATGACTTGCTCAAAAGCAACTGGATACTTTTTGCTGGAAAAATTCTCATATTCACATTTGACTGACTTTTACATTCTACTCCCTGATGCAAACATTTTTTAATTAAACTAATGCTATTTTTTTTTTGTGAAAGTCACATCTATTTCTATTGTTTGAAAAACCATAGCAAGTGAAAGTTCAAAATCGAAGCTGTCTGACTTCTTATAATCCTCTAGCAACCGCCATCAAAGGTCAACAATCACTCAGTAGAGTTCTCTAGCAACCATTAAGTTCATTTCGTTAGTGACCAAAATAAAAGACTTAGATTTCAATTCAAGGACTTAACGTTAACAATGCTTGTAAAACTATTAGATCCATTTCAGTGTCAAGTGTAATCTTTAAACTAATCAGATTTTTAGAGTTTCATTCAAAGAACTTGAGAAATAGAAAACTTTTATAACTTTTACGTCGAAAATAGAAAACAAATGGCATGTTGAATGATTCGAGACACAAAAATTAATGTATTTCAATTTCATTGACTAAAATGTAAATTTCAATCAAGTAAATGCAGCTAATTTAATTTTTAAGCAAGATCATGTAATTACTTTGATGAAAATGTTTGTTTGTTTCTAATCAATAGAATTTAAATGCGTTAGTTTTAACACATGTTCCATCATTCAGGATATCACATAAAAAGAAAATTTTTTTAGCCCCCGGAGCCTTTTGTTCTTGCATAAACTGTCCTCATAAAATTTTTTTTTGTAATCATTCAGGCTTTATCTAAAATAAAAATAAATTGTCAATTTCAAATACGAGAATAATTTTTCTTTCATCATAAGTTTGATTGTTATTCTCATTTTCGTTTCAGCACTTTAAAATATTTGACAACTACATAATATGATTCTGATACATCTCATAAAGATTTAAATATTACAAGTAAATTCTAACGGTTGATAAACAATGTACTGTTAAAATTCAATGTTATGTCAATAATTTATGAATTTAAAATTCTATATATATGTGTTGCTATTAGGGTTAGAAAAAAATAGTAGTTACTCACTTAGCCATCAAAATATTTTTCTCCTTTCTGTTCAATAGAATCAATTGAGGATATCATCCTGAATGATATTTTGAGATAATAGAAAAGTTTAAACAGCAGACATGAATTGTTAGTAAAATATATTCATGCTGTAGATAAATTTGAATACATTTGGAATTTATATATATGAATTGATAGATATTCAAAAAAAAATGTGGGAGAGAGAGAGATTCCGCTTGCTGGGCATATTTGTACAGACAACTGAAACTCTTCTAGTAGTGCTTCCAGAGAGAACTCAAGTTCTTCCTTGTATAAACGGGTCTCAATCGTTGGTAGGCAACTCAAAGCCTTCTAGAAAGACCTGAAAGGTGTTTAGCCCTCCATTTAATTTGTTACTACTATGAATGCTGGTGTTATTAAAACCGTTCGTTCATTTTTCTTATAGACCTACAACTTCTATTATTCTCTTTCTCCATATTTTTCTCTGTGAATATAGATTTCGATATCTTAACATTATTTATTTTAAGTTGTGTTAAGAGGAAACACAACTAGTTGTGGGATGTTCTCGCCTGGATTTATTGTGTATCATTATCTACTATCACTGCTTTGTTGAATTGATTGTTCATGCATGATGTTTTATATCTTCCTTTGTCATTTGTTCTTACCATATGATTTGTCTTTTCCTTCTTGTCCTTAACTTGACTCTTTATTTTCACCTTTTGTTCTCTCGTATCTTTTTCTCTATTCTAGTTGCTTATATATACGTGCGCGTTGTATTGTAAGCACTACGATTTCATAATACGAAGAAAAACAATAAAGCATAATCCCATCCATACTAACACTACTTCTATCAGAAATCTTCACACTAGTAGTATATTTACTGTAGTTTATAAGAACTCAAAATTGAAGTTACTCTAACAAAAATAAAAATCTTCAAATTTTGTCATCAAATGTAGAGAAAAGAAAAGTATTATCTTGATTTCGTCAAGATAAAATTCAGATTCCCTTAGTTTTAATCCCCTTCACAATACATATACGTACAGAAATCAAGATAAGGAAACTAATAACAAACTACTAAAAAAGAAATTTATGTAAAAAGTACATTCATCATACGTACACATGTGCGTATGTTATATCATATTTTATCTGATGAATACTTTCACTATTTAGTATTCAGACAGTTACTATAAACTGACGACTGACTATTACTCACATGGATCTGCACCTGTACTTATTACTTACAACCTATTAAACGTACCAGCAAATAATGAGTAATTATAAATAGAAAATATTTTCATAGAAATGCATGGTTCATCTTTCAAATAATAATCATTCATTGTAATAAAAGAATATTATATTTATCAGATTCGTCTTTTTTCTCATTTTCTTTAGTCTTTGATTATAAAAAAACATGTGCACCTAATAGTCTTTATATACAATACATGAAATAAATTATCAAAATTATTCGAAACCAAAACGTTTCTCTCCACATCCACAACAAAACTTAGCCCATTCAACAGGAAAAGCTACACCACATTCATGGCAATGTTTTGCTGCTGTTGATGCAACTGGTGCTCTTGTTTTCTGTTGTTGATTAAAACCACCATTAATTTGTGATATTCGACGTGTCGGACTAGGTGATCGTACTTTCATTGCTGTTGTACGTTGTTGTTGAAGTCGTGGTGAAACATCATTTTTTTGGTGTTGTTCTCGTCCAACAGCTGCCAGTACATTTAAACCATCATTTTCAGTTGTTCGACCTGTACGCATCGTACCCGGTAAATAATTTCCAGCTGCACTTCGTGTTTTTGTCATTCGAAGACTACCATATTTAGGTGGTGTACCATTTGTATTATTTCTCATTGACTAATTTAATTAAAATAAATCTTTATGTTTTTTATTTTTAGTTTTTCTTAAAAATAATTACTTCGTTAAAAGTTGCTCGTTTAAATATATTAGGATTTAATGGTGGTCTTCGATAATCTTTTTCACCATTCGTTCTGTAAATATATTTATAAAAAATATAAAATAGTATACAGAAATTACTTTTGAGGACGTCGTGATATTAATGTCGATGGTGCTGAATTAGTTTGATGTTGTTGTTGATTTATTCGTCCTTGTCGTCTAATACTTCCAACAGGTGTACGTATATTATTTGTTGGTGCTGTATATTGCATTTGTTTTCGTTTAAATTGTGTTTCACAACTGTATATAATGAATAGATATTTTATTTTAACAAAGAAAAAGAAAAAAAAATTTCTCACAATGGAATATGTCTTTCTGCTGAATATTTATTAAAATGACGTTGACAATATTCACATTGAATATAATCAGTTGGAACTTGAGATGGTGTTTGTTTGGGTATTGGAGCACCGGTTTCCACAGCTCGAGTTACTTGTCGTGCTTCACGAATCGTACGAACAAGTTCATTATGGTCTTCTCGCCAGTTACTTGTTTTTTTCTTTTGATTATCTGGTTTAGGTTTTACACCATCTTTATAAAACTAAAATTTAGATGATATTAGAAAATATTATATATTTCAATGCTTTTTTTTTTCTTCTCTAAATTAAACCTGTATAGTTTCTTTAGTTGCAGCATAAGGGACATCAGAATCTCTAGCACGTTGTTTACCCGTATCGAATACTTTTCGAGGGTGTTTTTGTGATGCGTTTTTACAGATTGGTTGATGTTTACGCTAAGAATTTAGGGAGAACAAAAACACAAAAGATTAGCAAGAATATTTGATTAGTTTTATTTTAATTTACCAAAGATTCAGCATTGAAATAACGACCACAGTTTGAACAAGGATAAGTTTGAATATCAGCATAAACAGGTATTGATTGATTTTCTGTTACTTGATAGGAATTTTCAAGAGAGCTATGCTTCTCTGTTCCATACATATCACTATTGACATCCATCACGTTGCATGGCACAGAACTCTTTTATTACTTTTGTTTTTCTTTCATTCTTTTATGTTTATAAAAAAAAACCTTTTCTTCTTCTTCTTCTGCTACTTGTTACAAATGTATTGTTTAACAAAAGATCAATTTTTTTTCTTCTCTCTCACATAAAGCATTAATTAAAGAAAAAAAAAACAAACAAAGCCGAAGTTTTTTTAAAAACATTCTTCTCTTCGTTTGTTTTTTGTTTAATAGATGTCTCCTTAATATGGTTGTTCGTAAAATAAAGATAGATTGTTCGAGAATAATATCTACCAATTCGAAATATATGTTATCTGTTATTTATCAATCAAGGTAACGATCAGCTACCGAAAGAAAGATTCTGTTTGGATTTTTGACATAATCAATATTTGATTTCAAAGTACAATCATGTTGTCAAAAACAATAAGACATTTTGCTCGACGTAGTTTATCAACTGATGTATAAATTAAATATTTTTGTAATGTTAATTTGTTAACAAAATTTTAATTTAAGGTTTCGTCTTATGCTCGAATTTTGGATGGATTTCGTGGATGTATTGGAAAGTAAAATTGACTGTTCTGTTTTGTTTTTTTAATTATTAATTATATAATTTATTAGTACACCTTTAATTCGTTTACCAAAATTAAGTGAAGAAACTGGTAAATATTTCAAATGTAAATAAAAGAAACTATTTTTCTATTGTTTCAAGGTTGTAATATTCTTGTTAAAGCTGAATATCTTAATCCAGGTGGCTCAATTAAAGATCGTGCTGCTTTATTCTTAATTAAAGATGCTCTTGATAAAAGTAATATTCTTTAAATTTATAATTATTTAAAAATATAATTTAAAACTTAATATAGATTTAATTAAAGCTGGTGCGACTATTGTTGAAGGTACAGCTGGTAATACAGGTATTGGATTGGCTCATATTTGTAATGCATTGGGTTTTAAATGTGTTATTTTTATGCCTGATAATCAATCAAAAGCAAGTGATGAATAAATCTTTTATTATATTTAATTGTTATTTTATTTTGTTCTGTAAAGGAAAAAATTGATATATTGCGTGTATTAGGTGCACAAGTAACAACAGTTCCTGTTGTTCCAATTACTGATCCGAATAATTATAATCATCATGTATTTTTCTTTTTAAAGAAAATATTTTTCATTCAAAAGAATACTTTGTTTTTATAGGCTAGACGGTATGCTGAAAAACATGAAAATGCAGTATGGACAAATCAATTCGATAATCGAGCTAATCGACAAGGTCATTATTGTACGACAGGACCTGAAATTTGGGAACAGACAAGTAAGATAGTCTTATCAATGATGATGAAAAAATGTTAATTTTTTATTTCTAGATGGTAAAGTAAATGCTTTTGTGATGAGTACAGGTACTGGTGGAACTTTAGCTGGTACTTGTATGTATTTAAAAGAAAAAAATAGTAAAATTAGAACTGTACTTGCTGATCCACCTGTATATAAAAATATATTGATATTTGATCTTTTATTTATAGCTATTATTGTTTATGTATAGGGTAGTGTTCTATATAATTATATTAAATCGGGTAAACTCGATCGAACTGATGGTTCATCAATTACTGAAGGTTTGCTCATTTGCTTTATATAAAATATATTTCTATTCTATACTTTTAGGCATTGGACAAGGTCGTATAACACAAAATTTACAAGATGCACCTATTGATGAATCATTATTTATAAAAGATCAAGATACTGTTAATATGGTATGAAAAATAAAATACGATATATTTCTATTTTAAAATGTTATTTTTTGTTTTAATAGGTTTTTAGACTTTTATGTGAAGAAGGATTTTTTGTTGGTGCTTCATCAGGTTTAAACGTAGCTGCAGCTGTTGAATTAAGTAAATCAATGCCTAAAGGTTCAACAGTTGTTACAACCCTTTGCGACAATGGACAAGTAAATATTCATTTGAATAAAATTATTAATTAATTCCTTGCCAGTGACACGTCATAGAGAAAGATCGAACTTCTTGCATATTTTGATAAGGACGAGAGAGAGAGAGAGAGGGAGCACCTTCTCTGTTGAATTATATACATACTAAATCAACGTATAAAAGGCGTCAGTTTGACAGAGTCTTTGTCCTTTCACCACAATTTTCTTCAAATATTTGAAAGTACAATGAGTTACCAAAGTCATCATAACTTTGTTCTACTGCATTCGATGATTTCCTCTTCTTTTGCTCTAGAAATATTTCAATCGATTATTCAACAAAAATGAATTATCAAAACGAGGTAAATATTTTTGTTTTATAGATTGACAAAACTATGGAAGAAAAACATTTGTTTAGGTCTTTTCGATCAACTGCCAGAAAAATATTACAAAAATATTTTTTAAAATAAAATTTTTCTTTTTTTATAAAATATATTTATTCCATTAGGCGCAATTGATGTTTTCTTTAATCAATAAAATCATTGATTCTTTCTTTTTTTTGTTGAATAATTTCTTTTAGAATGATAAATCATGATGACTAAACTATTTGAATCGAAAAAAAAATGTTTGATAGTTGGTGTAATCTCTGGAATATTTCTTACAATATTATTACCTCAATTATTAAATAAAAATAAATGGGAAAAGAACAAACAACAAACTTATCATGTTAATAAAAAAAATGAACATGACTTTGCTGAATATTCTCAATGGCCACCATTTCTAACTGATCCTACATTTGATTTAGTAAGAATAATTTTTTTTTTCTTTAAAAATATTTTTGTCTATAGACTTTATGGCGTAAACATTGTTGGATAAATCAAGTATCATTACCTAGTCAAGATCCGCAATTATATTATAAAAAAAATTATACCGCATACACTGTTTGTAAGTAAGTAAATTATTGAGTAATTTTAATTTTTTTGATTTTTTTTAATCCTAATACTAATTTCTAATTTATATAGAGATGTGATAAGTTTAATTAATTCGATTTATAATATGAAAACAAATATTGCTAAAGTAGAATATCCTGAAATATTTGCTCAAAAAATTAGAAAAATATTTAATTATGATAATACATTATATGCTAAAGCACTTCAACAGGTTTGAATATATAGATGTTGTTATAGTTTATCTATTTATTGTAAAGGTAATTTTATTTATTTCGAGAGAAAATATTAAGTTGTTTATTCTTTTATTTTTATCAATTTATTTAAATCCATGCTTAATATATCATTCATAAACATAGTAAATAAATCTACAAAGTTTTGTTCTACTCTCTAATACGTTCTCGATTGATATGCTTCTTAAGATTTTCTCATTTTGTGTTTGAGAATATTTTTCCAACTAATTAATGTTGAAGTTTGAAATTTTCTTACTTGCTCTCTCTGATAATTTTCTAAATTTATTCGTCGGTGAAAGTAGCATCTACTATCGATTTCAATATATATGATGTGCTTCATTATTTTTTTAATAAATTTTCATAAGAACATCATAGAGATCTGTGGTTTTCATCATTCAACAGAGGAGGCTCAGGACCATTGAAATATATCGAAATTTGATTACTAAGCAATTTACCGATCAGATGAGTTTTTGTTGGAGATTTTTGAAAGCGATACTCTGAAGTTTCTTTTCTGTAGATTTTGGCAGATTCAACATTCCTAACTTGTTTCGTTCGAGTGTTAAAAGACTTTGCTCTAGATCTTCAATATCAGTCAATTCGCCTGTGATCACCAAGTAAAGCAGCTCTAGGCAGGAATAATTCATCATCCCGAATCGAATGATCATACAAAGTCTTAGCTTAAATTCAAGATGAACACTTTTTTAAATCTTTTCAAACGACATTAAGAATAGAGACTTCAGTGTGCGAAGACTAGCGCTAATCAACCTTGATAATCCAGGATTTGAAATATGCCTGTAAAATGATCGGATCTTTTTTTATTTATTTTTCGAATTAAAAAAGATAAAACGGCTTTTACTCATCACTTGAAAAAATTAAATAAATATTCACATTGAATTTGAATTTGAGTTAAGACTGTGTTTCGATAGCTTAATTGGTAGAAGCGTCTACATAGTTACCACTTACAAAACTACATGGGCTAGAGTTGGAGTCGACGCTCATATTCTTTTTCTTGTGTTTCATTTTGTTTCGATTGATGAAAAAGAGCCATTCTACCATCTATTATTCAAAAAAAGATCCTATCATTTGCAATTATATATAAATCTATATATATATATTCCGAGTGATTATAGGTGAATTGGCTGATATTGGAAATCTCAGAAAAATTCTTATAACTTTCGAATGGATCGAGCTAAAAATGTGAGTGGTGCAGAAATCAAAAGGAAAATAATTTTGGAATATCGTTTTTGAAAAATCTGCAACAGAAATTCATCTAATCAGTGAATTGTTGATCAATCAAACTTCTATGACCATACGTTTTTTCTGTTGAATGGCGAAAACTGCAAGTCTTTATGATGTTTTCATCACAAGTTATTGATCAAATATTGGAGCATATTATACTTTGAAATGGATGGTAGATTATTAAAGAGACACTCATCATGTGTCCTAACTTGTCTTTTACGTTCTTGTATGTAATCAATCGTCTTCTCTTTCTCGGTACGATCCAATGAATTGCCTTGATGATAAATCGTTTTCTATCGTATATTATCAGGAAAAAAAGTATGAAATACTATGTTTAATAATAGTGTTGAACTATATTTGACAAAGTTGAACTGAATTTTATCATAAAATGCTCATGTCAATCTAAATTAGAAAAGTGATAGAATAAAAATCATCATGTAGTTGTATATTTTCTGGTAATTCATTAGGTCTAACATAATATTTATCAACAAAATATTGACTTGCATGAAGGTCAAATCATATTTTGTTGATAGTTACCATATTTTTTTGTCATCGGTTCTATAATCAATGCCAAAATATATCTAGTGATGGCTCATTTCTTTTCAATGATAACGAGATATAGTGTATCGACCGATACTTTTTAACGATATATTCAATAAATAATAACATAAAGAATCGTACTCATGCTATCATTTAACAGTTTACATCTAATAACAAAATAATTGGAGGACTTTGTTTAGTTATGTACGATATAACATAATGAGCAATTAAACTTGTTGCTAGATGATATTAAAAATATAAAATCTGCTATTAATTATTTGATATACACCATTGTTTGAATTTTCAACTGTATGAGTAATAGAATTTGTTGAAATTATTCGATACATTCAGATTTATGTAACATAATTCTTATTGAAAAGATATTTATCCTCTGTAAATCACCAATAGAGAATAATTCTATACAAATTGTTTCAAAATAAATTGAATATTTTGTATTTATCAATTAGATTTTCTTACGATTAAAATCTTTTATTGTTGAACGTTTACATTTTCGTATACTGATTGTTTACTTTTATTGTGTAACAATGATAGAATAATTAAGCATGTAGAAATACAAAGTCTAAAAGACTTTCCTATTGTACATTCAGAAGATGACGAATTATATCTGTGTAAAATAATACATTTATCTTGAATAAAAGTAAAACAAGAAAATTTCAATTTCACATTTCTAATAATTCAAACTAATATATTTTGATAGGAGATGAGATACTTAATTTTCTAAAGATATGAACATGATTTTCAATAGATAATTCGATGAATCTTCAAATTCAATATTCATAATCATAAAACCATCATTAATTATTTTAATAATCTTTTTAAAATTTTACTTCTTAGCTAAATATAATCTTACACAAAAGAAAAAGTTCTTTGTGGAATTATTTGAAATTAATGTCACTATTGTTTTTTTTTTCTAGGAACTTTATTTTGTTATAAACAAATACACATTTGAACATACAGTATATAATCCACTTCGTGGTCGTCGTCCTGTTCAATCACCTGAAGTACCTGTTGAACAATAGTAAGATTTGTTTTTTGTTTTTCTATCAAGATTTTCGTGTTTTTTTTCTTAGCTTAAATGAAACAATGGAAAAAACATCTAAAAACTGTGATTTATGTAATTATCAAAAGTAAATAATTTCTTTGTAGTCATTAATTGTTTAATTGGTTTTTTGAATATTTACAAAAATTAAAGTATGACAGCAATTGATAGTCTTGGTCGAATGGAAAATCGATATGCATATTCAGCAGCTAATGCATTTAAATTTGATCAATGGCATTCAATGTTTATGCCAAAACAACATGATATTACCAAATTAACATTTGAAGAATTAAAAGATGTTCTTACATTAGCTTGGAAATGGTAAGAATAATAATAATAATAAAAAAAAACCAATGTTCACCTTTTTTCTTATTGAAAAAGCGCATAAGTCTAATCTTACGAGAGAAACTATTCCACATGGTACCTGCTCTTTGAACTCATACTGAGTGAAGAAGGAGATCTTGATGAGACTAGCAAATGTCAAATCGTTTTTCGACTGCGACGCTGCTCATTTCATGAACGCTAGAGACTGATAAAAAAAGCCTACAATGATTTGGTTTTTAGGGCCTTTGCTGTCACGATATCGAAATTTTGCTGGAATTTTCAAGAAACAATTGTAATCCTCCTTAAGTCACATGAAAAATTGACTTTCGACTTAAGTCGATTTTTTATGTGATCTGAGAAGACTACAGTTTTATGTTGAAAACCGTAGGAAAATTTCGGTATCTCAAGAGCAAAGACTTTGATAATCAAACCATTCTAGGCTTTTTCTATTACTCACTAGTACCAATTGAATATGCATCGTTTCAGTCGGAAGGCGATTTGACACTTGAAGAGGTTCTCTTGTGAATTACAATCAGTTTACTAGATGTTCGATTCATACGTAGATAGTTTTTGGAAAAATTAAATCAAAGAGTTTCGATCTAAAATTTTACCTATACATAGATCGAATGATTCTTAGAATATTTCTTCGTCAAAATATTGAATTTTCAAAAATAGTCCTTTGTCAAAAAAATTGAGTTCACTTGAAAATTTACTATCTTGATGAATAAACATTTTTTTTTTGGCTGAAACTTCCAGAATATTGCAAGAGCAGATATACGTATCTATAGGCAAAGTTTTGGATTGAAATTCTGTTATTTGGCTTTTCAAGAAATACCTAATAATGGTTCGAAAGTTCAATGAACCAGTAATAATTCGATGTCAAAAGTTCATGGAAACGAATAATTCTAGTCTTTTACTATCTCACTGAGATCTGCTTGTAAGTTGAATAAGAGTTCAAACGACGAATATCGATTAGAATAGTTCTCTCGTTAGTTTTGATTTGACAGAAAAAGAAATGATTTGTTGTTAAACGAATATTTTAATTAAACATAGGTTTCAAGCTGCTCATAAAGAATCACCATTACATCGTTTTCCTACTATTCTTTGGGATAGTTTACCACATGGTGGTGCTTCACAAGTACATCCACATATACATGCAACTCTTCATTCAGATCATTATTATGGTTCGATTAAATATTTAATCTAGTTTAATGTCTAGTTTTTATTTAAAGGTCAATTTGAATCAATACGCTTTGCATCTGAAAGATACTATCGTGACTATGACAATGTTAGTAAACGTCGAGAAAAAAACTTTTTTCGTGCAATACAAGATATTCATATGGCATTCAATTTAACAATATCATTCAATGGTGTTACAGTTCTTGTACCTATTGTAAGTCATCAATTATTGTTAATATACGTTGACGATCACTTAATATATTTGGTTCACTATCAGAACGTTGTTTTGAATGATAACGATTTGATGTTGAAGTTTCAATAAGACTTGTTGTATTTAAATTTGAATTTGATTGGGTACATATTAGAGATTGTCGTATATGACAAAGATCATTATAAATATTTGTTAATTGTTGAGTTAATTCAATATTATCTTGACGAATATATTTCTAAAGAATAAGAGAGACTTCAATATGAAAACTAAAAAATTCGATTTTGAATGTAAAATCTTAATATAAATATTTTTCTAACCAAAATAAACTGCCTACTTAATTTCATTCGATTATTTCTCTTGATGATTATGGTTAAGTCTTATATTTACATCACCGATGGATATTCGATTATTTAATTTATTTGAAAAATCTCTCCCTTTTGAAGTAAGAATTTGCCGAGGAAATTGCAAATAAGTCTTATGGATACAAATGCCAATAAACATAATATTTGTTGTTCTGTATATCTCTCTGTTACTTGATATTTCATTTGAGATCCCGGATAGTAGTTACTTGTTGTTTGACCATGGCTTATAGGAAGAAACATCTTGAGATGTTTGGCTCTGTAAGTCATTTGTTTATAACAGAAGTTAGTTTGCGTATGAAAACTCAAGACTGATAAAATATGCTATGATTATATGTATATATTTTCAGATGTGTAAAATAAGATTCATCATTAATTCTAAAAAAAAAAAGATTTGTCTGAAATAAAACGACATATTCAAATAGGTCTGTCTATCATCAATCTTACTGATGGATAGACCAACATATGTTTGATTGTTTTTTTTTTTGTGATATCAAATAAAGTTCATATATTTGATAGTTTTCTTATATTCTCGAAAAATGTTTTCTTTTTATAACTAGAACAATAATACATACTAATTGTTCTTGAATTTGTGTGATCACTGATGATATATTATTATCATTTTGCTTATCAGTTTCAGCCATGTTTTTAAATTACACTCTTAGTTCGAATAATTGTTTTTTCTGTTCTTGATTGTCGTGTCACATCACTTTTACCTCGTCTTTACAACCCAATCGATATGCATATATATTGATATTCAACAACACATTATCGTGTCTCGTCTTCATGCTTGTTGCTTGTATCTTCTTCTTTTTTTCCCTGCTGTCTCAATATGTTGTACAATATGTAAAAAGAAGAAGAAAAGAAAGAGAGATAATATCTTCTAGTAGTTATTTTCTTTTTTTTTTCTCTTAAGCTATAATAGCAAAATGACTAATTTGTCCTTTTATTTTGTTTTTTAGACATCACACAAAGAATATGATATAATTGTCTTAGCAGAAAATTTCGATGAACGATTCATTAAAGTAATTTATCAAATTATTCAAGGTTTGTTAAATATTTTAAAAATTTTTGCATATGAAAATAAGATTTTATTTTTAAAGGTTATTTTAATAAATTAAAACAATTTAGTTTTTCTTCATGCTTATATTTACCACCATTATCACCAAATCAAGATGATAGTGGTTTAACTCCTGTTTATTATCGCATTGTACCTCGTGGTCAAGTATCTAGTCTATTATCGGAAGTGTCAAGTCTTGATTTACTTTCCATATATAATGTGAATAAATTTCCAGCAGATCTATTTTCAGAAATAATAACTTGGTTTGAGAAAATGTGAACTTTTTTTTTTTTTTTTATTATTATTTATTTGTTTATTAAACTGAATATTCGTCTTTTTTTTCTTCTTTAAGTTCCGCAATTCGTTTTAAAAACGTTTCAATTCGTTTAGATAAATGTGTATCATTGATATTTTGTTGATTTTGATAATAAGTTTTCATTTTTGATTGTTTAGCTGTAATAAGTGCTGATCTTGCACGTTCTATTTTTGATTTCGTCATATTTATATTTATTTCACAATCATTAGGATCATATGATGGAATTTTACCAGCTCGTAAAGCTAATTTTAATTGTCGATAACGTTTAGCAAATATTGGATCATTTAATTTATGTTCTTTAACTAATTCTGGTGTAACATATGCTTCAATTTCTTGTCGTCGTCGAATTGATTCTTGATATTTTCTTTCAAGTTCAGCATCAAAAAATGTTTTTGTTGAATGTTTCATTTTAGCTTTACGTTGTTCAGCACGCCAAGCTAAATATTGTTGACGAGCTTCATCTTCATCTTGCAATGCAAATACTTTTAATTTAACAGGCCATGTTATTCGATGACTAACTGATGAAAAAACCGATGATTTTGTATCAGAATTATTAACATTTGTTTCAACAGGATGTTGAGACATAGCTGAAGTTGAAACAGCAGAAGATGATCGAGCAACTGAACGTTTGCCTGAAGTCAATCGAGAAATAGATATTGGTATAAATTCATCATCACTTTCTGTATCTGCTAGATTAGGTTTTTGTTCATATATTGTTTGAAGTGGTGCAGTATATGGTCGAGAAATTGTTGATGCAGATTTTGCTCGACTATGAAATTGATCATCATTAGGATGAGCAAAACTTGAACGAACACCAGGTAAACGAGAACGACAATGAGGATTAGCTGATTGAATCTAAATAAAGACAAATATTTTTTTTTTGATTTTTTCATAGTGTAAAATATAAAAATTCTTACTTTTCTATTTATAAAAAATTCATCAATATTACAAACAACTCTTTGATTATCATCCAACCATTTTTTTAAATCATGTATTGATGTTCGCATTTTACATGCATTCATATCACTTTGATATCCAATATGTCTGTTAATAACTTTAAGACGATTATATTCAAGTTTATTACGTACTGTTGCATTAAATTCATTTTTTGTTAATTTTATTTTTGTTGTGAAAATATTTTCCTCTTCAATATCACCAACTTTTGAAGCTGAACTCATATTTATTCTTTTTGTCAACTTAAACAAAATCAATTCAACAATACCAAAATGTAACGACAAAAGAAAATGAAAATAGGTAATGTTGCCTTCAAACACGTGTTTATTCTTTTGAAACACTTGATTTAATACCATTATATGAGCAATTGGTAACAAATATTATGTTCTTTTTTCTTTCGGTCTGTCATTGGAAACAAGGTAGAAAAAAGAAACAACGTAGATGGTAGAAGGGCAGAACGATAATCATAGGTCATCAATTTATAAAAGTCTAACGAATAGAGACATTGCACAAGTTACAACAACATCCAAAGTTCACCTACGTCTAGAAAAGACAAAAGTTAAAAACTACATAAAACAATTATTTTCATTGAGTATGAAACTAATGATTCTTATGTCTGAACCAATAACTATTTTATTGTAAATGTTTAGCATTGAATTCTGCTTGTTTTTTGGTAAAAAATTTCTAGACAAATAATAAAACAATATTTTTTTGTTCTATATAAACAGGATTCTCGTTCATTGATTCTCTAACTTATGATGGTTAGGTTTTTACTTAATTTCATGTTTGTTCTAACAGTAAATGCATGAAATACTTTATGTCAAAAGTATTATTTCAGATAAATTAATTTTAAATTGAACTCAGATCAAACAAGTACATAAAAAAAAAAGGCGTTTGAAAATTCAATGATTGAACTTGCATAATCTTTTAAGAAACGCGCAAAGAATTGTAGTCTTTGAAAAAATTACATCAATTCTAAATATAAGATCTTACAATATGATTAGGTTATACGATAGTAAGACTTCATGAAAACCTTACGATGAGATATGATAAAACTTGTTCACAGACTACGATTTTTTTTTTGGGGGAGTAATTGTTTCACTTTTGAAGCCAACATTTTGACAAAGTTATGCATGCAAAGTCAATCAGATCAATCAAGATAAAAAGAATAGAGAAGTAACGGCTGTTCTTGATTTAGATAAGAATATTTGAGAATAACAGCTAGATTTTTCAACCAAGATTACAGCTGAAGATAGGTCAAAAACTGGCATAAGATATTTTTTCTTGTATAGATTAAGACAATTTATAGGACTAGCCATGTCGAAAGATTTAAAAATTTTGTGATTTCAAATAATCTTTTCATGAAGAAAGTTAAATAGAAAAATAAAAAGATACATAGATATAGATGGGTCATTTCAGACAAAACGAAACATACATATCTTTCATTTTGAGTTTTATTCTTTACAAGGGTTATGTTTCTAAACGAGTTCTTTTAGTATAGACATATGTAAAAAATGTTTGCCATTTCAACTGATTATTAATTAATTAAAAATTTATTAGCAAATATTTTGGGTAATCGTATGAGAAAAGAAATTTGAAAACTGCACGATAAAATCTATGGTATGAATTGCATCTAGGATGAAATTATTCGCAAGTTCAGGTTCCAAAAAAAACTTCCTCTTAGAAATCAACTTTATAGAGATTCTATCAAGTCCTGAAGCAAAAAGTTTTGTCTTATCATCATCTAGAGATTGTGAAGAAGAATTTGTACTGTTAAAAATTCGTTTTGAAATTCTTATTTAGTTAGAGAAGCATTTTTTGTTTGTATATTCGTGCTCCATCATGTTGCTAACAAATAATTTGGCCCATGTATGGAAAGGTACCTGGCTTAAGAGACTAATGTCTATGGTTTGATATATACACGGATAAGTTTGGTTAGTTTCAACCTTGGTCTAGATCTAGAAAAAACTAATTCGAATAGGAATGTCGCCTTAGCATTGACACGAATTGACACACTTTTGTATTACGATGAAAAATTTAATTTAATTCTTTTGCATTAGTATCAGATTATTATTAATACAAATGTTTACGAGAAAAAGTATGAAACAATCCCAATATAAGACTAATACTAAGCTGCCATCTCCTGTTTTAGACTTAAATCGGAATGTATTCTGAAATACTCGTTTTTTTTTATGTATTCAATTGATGTATGTCACTTCTTTTGTTTGATGAATTTACTTGAATTTTTTAATGATTAGTATGAGTTATAGGATCATTCGAACAAAGTCATTTGATATTCAAGTATAATCTTTAGTTCGGGTTCGAACAACTTTTTCTCGTCGTGTGGGTTCAGTTCTGCCGGATTGAGACCAAAATTGATCACGCATATTTCTACTCAGAATACTGATTCATATATTTCAGCTGTCGATATTCTGAAGTACTTTTACTTTTCATAATTTTTCTTACTTAATGTTAAGAATTTTAGTTCGATATCTGTTTGTATTCGAAAATTATATAATTTCTTATTTTAAAAATTTCAAATAGTAAATTTTCGCATAACAAGATCAAAATATTCTACCTGAAAATTCATTACTTAAGTTTTTAAATCTGATTACAAAGTATCGAAGACCGTTTGGAATACCAACAATGTCTTGTGAAAAAACTCGTTAACACAATCTTATAACGCTAAATGTGAAACATGGTAGAATTGATTCTATTGTCAATAAGATCTTTTGATAACATGCCTTTCATCTTAACAGATTGCTAACATTCGTTCTCAATGAATCGTTTCTGCAATCATGATTTTTATTTCAAATCGTTCTGATTTGTTCTATTACTTTTGTCAAATAATTCTAATTTTTAAAATTTGTTGTGCTCTTTCGAAAAAATACTGAAAATAAAAATATAGAACTATTCGTCAAAACTAAAATACATGAGAACGATTTCGAAAAGTTCAGACTCATTGAAATATATGTCAATAGAAAAAGTGTAGTAATTTTAATATATTGAAGGGAGCATAAAAGAAGACAAAGAAAAATTGTTTTAATTCATACTCCTATCTAATTGACTGTAAAATATGATACTTATTTCATCATAAAATTCAACAACCGTCTCTTAAAAAGAACATGACAAAATTGTTTTCTAATAGTATCAATGACTGACTAAGCATATAATTGTTTCGTTCTCCACTTCAATATTCATTTGAAACATGCTTCATAATAATGAGTTACAATAAATAGAAAAGAACACTATTCGTCTAGACTAGCCACAACATCGATAAATCCCAGATTATAGAAGCTTTTTTTTTGCTTTATTCTAGCAATTAGAGAATGAGATTATTCTATTGAAAATCACATCAGTAATACGATGAAGACTTGTATTTAAAATATATGATGACTTTTAATAATAAGGAAGGTCATTGTATTGGATTTCAATTTTATCTCTTTGTCCCAAAAAGTACGGATGAACTGAAGATTTACACCCACACCCTTGAACGATTTATAATTCTTAGTAGATTGTTGTTGACAAAGAACAAAAAGGAGGAAATTTCGTCACATGTATCCTCATATTGCATATAGGAATGAGCAATATCACCGAAAAGAATTAGAAATGGAAAGAACAATACTTTGTCATACTCTTATATGTTATTCAACATGGGAACGCAAGAGTTGAAGATGGTAGAAAAAACTTTTCAAATGAACACTTCATAGTATAATGCTGTATGAAATAGATCACATCAAATATTGAATCAATTGCAGATAACCTAAATAAGGTCTAACTGTCTAATTCGAGTGGCTATCGGCAACTGATATTGTAATTTTGATGAAAGATGATTCAAACATGAAAATATGAAATAATATAAATATACAAGTGTCTAATTCATTTCTTTTCAATCGTATGACTTAATAGAAAATTTGGATATCTTTTAGCCTAGATGTACACTGGGCAAAGTGCATTCACTTTTAAAACATCAATCTATTCAATTCGAACAAATAGAATAGTTCAATATTTTCATCTATTATAATTGATCTCTTTCCATTAAAACATTTCAAGTCATCAATATTGATTTATTCACCATTTTTTTTTCATTTTTTTATTATGTAGTCTTGCTTGTTTTAGAACATTGAATAAACTCCTTTTGCATTCCACTTGCAAAGCATTTACCATGTAAACAGGAAGAACATTGATGATTGTTAAAATTCACTTAACAATCACTACTTATGTCACATGTAAAATGTTCTTGGAAAATGAGTGTAATTATAAATTATACAAAGATATATATCAATTTTTACTAAATGTCCTTTTTTCTGTGCTTCATTCAAGAAAAATTTTATATGAAGAACATGAAATAACAATGAAATTCATATATATTTAGAGTTCCACAAATTTTACATATATGAGAAGATTCCTTGGACATTTGTGCTTCATTCTTATACAATTGGATAGTTTATTTTTGTTAAAAATTCAATTGTTAATATCTGGCACTAATACACATAAAAAGGGATATTTTTCTTCTTGTCGTAAGAGACATGCGGCAAAGCAGGTTTAAGAAGAAGCTTCAATACAGAGGAGACACCAACCGTTGCTTTCCAGCACGCACACATACTATGAAAGAGAATAAAGACAGAGAATGAGAGGAAGGTTTCTCTTCCTTCCTGTGAAGAAAAATATTGGCAAGAAGATGTGAGTGTGTCGACTCAATGCAGAATAACGTATAGAGCAAGAAATTAGCACGCATTCTATACAAATAAGAGAGAAAGAGAGAAAAAAATAACGAAAAGTCTTCTTTCTTACTTCTTAAAATAGTTATAGGTATTGTTTTTATCGTGCTAGACAAAAGTTTTGACTCTGCTATTAAAAACAAAAAAGAAATGTAATTTATTATCTCATTAGTTTTAATTGAGATATGAAATTAATTATTTAGGTAAACAATAGAAAAGACAATTGATGAAAGTATGAGTGTTAATGATATGACATTAGTCTGTTATACATCGAATAATCTGCAAACGTTAGAACAATGTGCACGTCAATGCAAAGTTTGTGGCGCTCCTGCTTTACATTCATACTATGGTGTCATTTCATGTTCACCATGTAGAATGTTTTTCAAACGAAATGCCATAACAGGACAAGTTAGTTGTTATAATTTAGTTTTTCATTATTTTTAGTTGTTAATTCTTTGTTTAGAAACGTTTTAAATGTGATTTTTTTGATCAATGTGATGTTAATATTAATAATCGCCGTATATGTTCTTCGTGTCGACTTGCTAAGTGCTTTACAAGTGGAATGCAATCTGATTTGATTCGATGTCCTTTATCAAAAAAAATCACATCAAAACAAAAACAGAAAAAGGTGTTGGAATCCATAACAGAAACATCGAATATTTTGCAGAGCATACAAGAACAAAACCAACAACAGCATGTAAGTTTTTTTGATTGAACTTGCAAGTTTCTGTTTAAAGAAAGTTTTGTCAATATGCATACGACCAGAAAGAGATGTGTTTTCTTTTGTTAGAGACCACTAATATAGTACGCCACGATAAAAAAATGCATTTTTTTTCATTCCTTCTTCTGTTCGAGATACCTAGATGAGCAGCAAGTTCGATGCCAGATGACCGATATTAATAAATCTTCTGTTGATAATACAAATTATCGAGAGATCTAAATAAATTTAATATAAATATGTCTGTTGTATAACTTTAATTCTGAGACTAAATTATGACTTCATCACCCATAGACTCGCAATCATATAATCACAACTCAATATATATATATTTCTTTCCTGCCTCAATAAAATGAAAACAAGTACATTAGAATAATGAGGGTGAAAAATGATAAAACAAGAGAAAGACACAAAAATTAGAAGAAATAAAAAAATGACAGTATCGAAGACGGTACCCGATGCTGTCACACCATCTCCTTCCTGTTATCCAGATTTGTTCAAGTTTATCGGCGTCTTCCCCTTCCTGAATGCTCAGGATGTCTTGACAAGTTTGACCAAGCGTCAAAGAAGTAAAATAATTTTACAAGATTTAAAAGAAGGCGCGGATGCGGATGCAAGTATAAATATATAGAAGACCTATATCGACACCCACACCGAGGTCCACATTCACACATTCCGCATCTATACACCATATTGCATTGGAGTAAGCAGAGTATAAGATTCGTTTTGATTTTTAATGTGTTTGGTTTTCTAACTCAATGTGTAAACTTTATAAGTAGTTCCATTGTAGAATAAATTGCCATTTTCTCGAATTTCCAAATCTTCTTGAAAATTGAGTTTTAAAGATCTAGTTCTGAAAATTGTTTTATATAGATAACCTTTTATGTTCTATTCAATGGTTAAATCAAAATTTCTAAAAAAAAACCTTTACAAAGGACAAGATAGACAGATTTCTTGAAGTTGTACTCAACAAAATAGACTTTTGAGCCTGTTCTCCTGCAGTAGTGCATGAGTTGAATGAAAACTAAATATCAATTTCTATACAATTTGACGAAGACTGCAAGAAAAATATATCTTAACCTTGTCAGAAAAAAGTCAATTTAAATGTTGAACAAGTTGCGTAGAAGCACTCCATATATTTGTGCCTTTTCTTTCTTCTATTGACTTTATGAATAAATGAAAGAACTACTAATTTTGCACCTTAATAGCCAAATCCAAATGGCAACACCTGTACTTTTTATTATTCAGATCTACTGAATAGTCCTTATGAGCGATGTAATATGTAGTCGGTCTAAGAAGGAAAATCAACCACTAATTGTCTCCGTTATTGAATATTTAGATATTAGAGAAAAACATTCTTACGATTCGGATGCTCTTTTGAGCATTACTGGTGAAGCCAGCCATCTGCTGAGTGAAAGATTTTTCTTTTCTTATTAACGCATGAATATGTGCTGAAATGTATTGTAGTAGTTATCAAATTATCAAAAAAAAAAGAAGATATATCATCACTGCACGTCAAGCATTCATGAAATATTGGCTCAAGGATGCCAAATGATAACAGCCGACTGTAAAGGGTTAAAAAATCCTTTTTGTCTTCTTCTGTTTATATTTTTCTTTCGCTTACACGTCCTGAATTCTTGACGGTATTCCATTCTAACCGCTTAATTCTTTTTTCTTTGAAAGAATATTTTTAGCTGTAGGATAGACTAAAGCTAGTTGTTTTTTTAATTAAGCATGATTTTTACTATGTAGAAAAAAACCACTTTGATAGATAAACCCTCATTTTCAGAGTATTTTTTCAGGTATTACACTTGTTGCACTTTCCTCCACATAAAAAGTATATTAAGAGTTTTGAAGACAAAAAAAAAGAATTCAGTCACACCCTACAACTTCATATGCTATTTTAAATAAACGTAAATAAACGTTTATGATAGTTTACATAAAATGTTAGACTGCCACACATTAACTATTTTTAACCTTTGTTTAATGGATATGTCTTGAAAAGGTCATGATATCAAACTGAAAATTGTTCATAGACTACGAACTACAATCTTAAAATATCATGAAAATATCATGGGATATGAAATTAACTGATCCGGAATCGATATATTAGTTGGAAGGGTGGACGAGGGCAGGCTTATATTATTAGTTCTAGTGTTTATCGTTGTTTTACTTGCGCATTTTCTTTAAATCATAAAGAAAACTTGGCGAAATAGAAGTCTTCGGAATACTTTTGTATCTATATCAATGTATACTATAACAAAAAATACAAAATATCTTGTAGACTGATCTTGTTTATAAAATATTGTGTCTCATAGGCGTATCGTCATAATTAATTTCCTTGAAATACTCTTGTTTCCTAAAGTCCTGTGTCATGTGAGATCTAAATATTTTTTGACAAATCCATCATTGAAGTCGAAAGGAGATTCAAGTTTAAGATTCTGAAAATGCTTTATTTTGGTGAACAGAAAATCACCTCTCTGCAGTTAGAACATTAATAAAAACTTAAAATAAATGACTGTTGATAGTTATATATAAATCAAGAGAAAAATTCTTTTTTTCTTTTTAATTAACTTTTAGTTACCAACATTGAACCTTTTAGAATCAGACAATTCAACATTATATACCAGTCAATGGACGCTTTTATCTAATTTATTTTATAGTTATGATGAAAGTAAACTTCTTTTGATTGCTCAACAATTGATGAACGAAAATAATCTTGAAAAATCTATGAAATCTATCGATTCAACACTTCCAAAACAATTTTTCATGAAAGCTTATGAAACATCAGGAAACTATCTCAATTCTAATGGTGATCTTTGTAGGTTATCATCTGATAATCGTTATGCTTTTCTTCGTAATGCTGCTGAAAGTGTGCATTGCATAGGTACAATATTTAGTTGGAGTCGATCTCAAGTTTACAAGTGTAAATATTTTATAAATATTTGTATTGACCTTTATGGACGAGATTCAATAGATATGATTGAACATATATTAAAATATATGGATTCAGATATTGTGATCTGTAAACTAGCATTATCACTATTTACTTTCTCTACTAATATTACAATATCTTCTTCAATTGCAACAATAAACCCAATAAACACACTTGAAATCTTTCATATTCAGAATACTTATGCAGAAGTAACATGGAAATATCTGCTTTATAAATATGGATTTTATCAATCTATTCAACGATTTATAAATCTTATTCAATTTTTTTTGGCTGCGACGGATGCTTTATATAAAGTACAATATATTGAGAAACATGAGAATGATATTGAATTGCTTGTTGAAAATGTTGAATTGGAACTTCTTTTAAATGATATTGAACGCATCGATTAAAGCAAGAAGAACGTAATTGTTTGTTTAAAATCATCTAAACAGTGACAAACTTATTTTGATGGTGTTTTTTATTTTGAATGAAAATATTTGTTGTAAAAAAGTTTCATTAAGTTTTGTAAATGTAGTTTTTAGTTAAATAAAAATTAACTAATAATATTCAATTAATATAAAATCGATTCAAAAAAACAAAAAAGACCTTTATCTATTCCATCCAAAATAGCTAGAAAAATGTCTACGAGTTGTAAAACTTCTCAGATAAACTTGACTGAATACTGGCATCAAGTAGATTCACTAGATTAGTGTTGTTTAGAGACTGGCATATTGAACTTTTTGCATACCTTTATCTTATTCTAAGAAGTTTTTATCTAACTTTTTCTTAATTCTACCCATAGTTGGAAGACTCTAAAAGTGTTAAATAGCAAAATAGTGTCATGGTAGAGATATACCGTACTCTATCCTGCAAGGTAGGATAGAATAACTATTCACATGTGTAGCTGAATGCGTGATTGTGAAAAATATTGCAGAAAATACATTACTTTGGTTATTGTGCATGACAGAACTGTGAGAAAACTATCCATTAATTCTTTATTCTTTGAGAAATTATTGCCATTTTGCTGATAGCTTCTGGACTGTTTAGAAATTTTCATTTCTTAGTTCTTTGACATTGCTGATGAAACTGAACTATTGTGGGTACGATGCTTAAATTTTTATCACTTTAATATTCAAAATTATTGTGACAAATGCAATTAGCTCATTTTTTCTATTTGCTTTGATACTTTGTTTTTTAATATTGAACATCGTAATTATGTTATGTTGCATTTCATTTGCAGAATATCAGTGCTAAATGACGACTATTAGTAATTATAAATTTCACGGTACACTGACAGTTGAGCACCCGACAGTTGAGCCCCCCGACAGTTGAGCCCTCATTGATTAATTACGAAAGAAACAAAGTCAGTATTCGATCACTTTGTTCGGCTCAAAATTAGTGAACAGATACAAGTCACATCTTCCTATGAGATTGATGAATCGCTATTAAATACTTTCATAGGTCAGTCAATAATCTTTACGAAAACAAATAAGTTTTTCGAATTACATTTCTTTTTTTATCTATTCTCTATTACTCTTCTANAGCTCTACCTTCCGATCACGGACATGATACTTCGAGGTTTTTTGGGGCGGAGAACTCGAATCTGTCATCCATTTGCCTTGAAATACCATTGGTTGAGCAGGGACCAATAGAAATCAAGTTACAGGAAAAACGACTTTCTTAGGGTAAATCAAGACGAAGAGTTCAAATCTGAGCTGTATTCATCTCCAAATCCTATTGGTTGAGAGTAGCCAACAGAAATCAAGTATTTTATAGAAAAGGTTTGCCAGGATTATTTTGATGTCCACACATTCTAGCATGACTCATCTGGCTCATTCACTTTTTGAAGTACACATAACTCTCGGATTTAAATCCGAGGTTTCCGCATTTATTTTATGTGCAAACAGAAAATATAGAACAAATAACAAGCTTTAATATGGACAAGGTTTATCCGGTGGTGGAGATAGTGGTTGCATAATACTATTTAAATATAAATTATAATCAGCAGATGCATATGATGATGGAATATTTGTATTCATTCCTGTCATGTTATTAGAATACATGGTTGAATATGGATATGTATATGATTGTATTTGTTGTTGCATTGAATTCTGTACTATTTTACCATTATTTTGTAGTGATGATTGCTAGTGATATTCTGGTCAAAGGCCACTATTTTCTTTTTGAGCACGAGTCATTTGTACCATCTAAAAAATCAAGAAAAAATGAGGATGAACGTCTATGAAAAATATACTTGTTCATATTGAGTTTGCATTGTTGCATAATATTGTTCGTATGAAGTGGCAAATGATTGTTGATTGGGGTGTGGGTGTGGGTGCGGGGATGAGTGCGAGTCTTCTCGTAGTCTACGGTCACCCACACCCACACCCTTTGAATGATATTTGACTTCATGTCTTTTTCTATCTGCATATATAGTGACTCTCAAGAATCATTGTAGAACCATCAATATAATCTATCACAAGAGTAGAAAGTATTATTTCATCTAATGCAAACAAAGTTTTAAGTACGAATTCAGTAACAATTCCTGATATTATATTTCTCTCTCTCTCTCTTTCTAAGCGTTGTCGGTAGGTAACACATTCTCATTACATAAAAAGATATTGTCAATCGTATAAATAAAAACACAAGAATAAAGCACTTACACTTTGTTTCCTAATCATTTATGACTTGAGATATATGAGACTAAGGCTTTTGATCCTAGTTCTGATAGATACTTTTCTCATAGTAATAATCTTGATTGAAATGTTCGTACAAAGTTTCCCAATATATTTAAATGGATTTGCTTTGAGACAATAAAACATTTTAAATAAAATATTTGGTTCGAAGTCGCGATCAAAATTAACTTTGTACATCTTTAATTGTAGTAATAAATCGATGTAGATTATTTCTTTAGATAAGCGAGTATAAAATTTTCAAACCGGTTGTAAAGAAAATTTTCAGACTCCGACATGACGGAGTCTAGAGCAGGACTTTATAAGGTATTTTATATGAATGTTTTAAACTTGGCCAAAAGAATCTAATTTTCAAAACACATTATTGTCTATCGAATTTGATTAAAAGTTCTCTTTTAGTTATGAATCAATATAAAAAAGATTTACATACGTTATTCACGAAAAAAACTTTTTTATTGAATACATAAACACAACACACACATGTACGCACGAAGAATAATATAAAGAAAAAACATGATATTATTCATTAGGTTTTCCATGAGAAGCTGTTGAACCAACACGTGATGGATCTTGAGATGGATAATGTACACTAGTACGCAACGATGATAATGGAGGCGGCATACCATAAGATAATGATGATGTATAATCACCAAGATCTGGTGGTGGCATTGGCGGTGGTGGTAGAAACGATGTTGTAGTTGCAGCAACACCAGCATTTGATGATGATGATAAACCGAAAAAGTCCGTTTTTAATTCATTTGATGGCATTGGAACAACTTAAAAATAACAAAGAAAAAAGAAATTTTCTAACAAAAATATTTCATTTCATTTTACCTGTTGGAAGACCAGGTACAGGTTCATAATTAGCTTCAAAAGCACCTCCTTCACCTGGTCGACCGCTACTTCCTTGTACTGATGGTGGTTTACCCCATTTAACAGTCAAACGTTTGCCATCAATAACTAATTTATTAAATGATTCTTTTGCAGCCTCTTCAGCTGCATCACGTTGTGTAAATTGTACAAATGCACATGATTGTTTAGGTACAACAGTTACTGAACGAATTTCTCCATATTGATAAAAATGATCTCTAGAGAATTAAAAGAATTATTTTTTTTTTCATTATATAAAATAAAAAATAAACAAACCGAAGTTGTTGTTCATCCATATCAACAACATTTCCAATGTAAAGTGTTGTTACTGTTTTATCTTCTGGTGTTTCTAATTGTGGTAATTCTTTATAACGTGATAATAATTTTTCTGCAACTGGATCATTAACACCATAAAATCGATCACGAATATTTTGATTTGATAATGGATCATCTGGATCAGTTGGTTTTTCATGTCTTTAAATTAGAATAATATTCAATTATTTATTGTTTTCTTTTTTTTTACAAAAATCAAAAAAGATTCATACCTATATGGACATTCTTCACCTCGTTTACATTCACCTTTTACATAAAATGAACATATATGAGGTTGATTTCGTTTATAATATGGTGCTGAACGAGCTAATTTCACTAAAACATCACTTGGTGGTTGTGCTTTAGCTAATTGACCATATGGTTGTGGTGTTTGTTCAAGTGACAACTAAATAATATCTTATTTATATTGACTTGAAAAGAAAAGAAATAAAACTTATTACTTGAACTTCAGCATTTTGTGTAAAATATTCTTTATTAACTTGACCTTTTGGAATAGTATCAGTTATTTGTAATGCTTCATCACGAACTTGAACAGGTAAACCTAAAATGAAAAATTTTCAATGAAAATTTTGCTTTTTGTTTTTTTGAATAAAAACAAATCTACAAACCAAATTCAAGATCAAGTAAACATGTTTGACAAACATTTTTTAATTTACTACATGTTTGACAAATTTCTGTTTTTTTAAAACGCATACGAGCTCCTGGACACCAACGAAAAATTGTAAATGGACGATTACAAATTTTACATTCTTGACCATATCGTTCTTTCATCTAAATTACATTTTAAAAAAAAGACGAAATAAAAACAAAAAATTTACCATTCGAATATATGGATTATCACCAAGACATGTTTGACATAAAATTGGAAACTCCTAAATAGCAATTGATAGTAAATAAATAAATCAATAAATAAAACACAGAAAATGCATACTGAATCTTCCCAATTTTGTCGATTATATGTATTTGAAAGAAGTGATATTGACATGATAGGTATGAAATATAACGGCGTGCGTTTGTATGTGTCGTAAAAGAAAAGAAATGAATGCAATCATTGGTAAACAATGTATAATCATGACTCTATCTGATTGGTTTAACTTGATTAACTAATGAAAATATTTCAACATAAGAGGTCACTGTTAGAGGTATCGCTTTTGTTTCGTACTGTAAAAATAATAAATCCGTAAAATGTATCTTATGACAAATTGATCCATGCTATTTTCACTGATATTTTGCGTGCGCGAAAGGTATGTTATTCTAACAAAAAGCCTAAGATGATTTCGGTTGATGTGACTCCTTTCAATACATATGATGATATTCATTGTTAAAGAAAAAGAGACATCATATCAATAATCTTCATGTAACTCATATACGAATATCATGAATAGAAGTAGGTATGAATAAGTCTTTGAAAATATTGATCCAAGAGCTTCTGGTAACAAAAAAAACTACAGTTCTTTAATTAAATTTCGAACCTATACTCAGGTTTCTTTTTAGAAAAAAAATTGAATTAATGAATTTTAATCTGAAATTTCGCTAGCAGATAAATCTATTTCCGTGTAGAATATCTTGAAAGTTTTTAATGAAAATAAATGTTTATTTTCCTTCTTGGAGCAGCTCTTTTTATGTAAAAAATACTCATATCTATTAAAAGAAGTTGCATTAGATGAAATCCTCTCAGATTTTAAAATAAATTTCTCAATATGCACATGAAATATTAGCAAGAGCGGTATGGATCAGTTGAGAATATTTCCTTGTATTTATACTTAGTTTTATATTAATGGACATATATGTGATAAAAATGCGTATAGATTAATCGATTAAATAAAAATTTTCGGAATGATCAAAGCATTAGACCGAAATATTAGTTTTGTTGTCATTAAAACAAGATTATGACTGTTATTTATTTCACAATATTTATAACTAAAATGAATGCATTCTATGTTCTAAATAAGGATTTCATATTGTTTTTAAGGATGTTAGGAATTGCAAATTCGACAAAAAAGTATCGTCGTTCTAACAGAGATCGAACAACAGATGATAAAATCCCCGACTTACTATCGTATGTTGTGTAGAGGAAAGCGTCTTTATATGAATATCTGTCAAAAGCAGAACTAAAACTTCTATTCTTTCACGATTTTCAATGAGAGTGTAAAATATTTGAAATAAAGTTCGAAACTTCTATGAAGAAAATGTTTGTAACATCTCCTCCGTAACCGTTAATCTTATTCTAGACAGATATTGCATAAAGATAAAAATATTAATAATTAACTTCTAGATTACATATATCTTTCATAGTTTTTAAGTATCTTTACATTGTTACCGAATATCTTTACTTAATATTAGTAATAGTAATAATAAACTTCTTTTTTTTTTTGATTTTTTTTTACTTGATTAGTTGATGAAGATAACGAAGCTGTCAACAAAAGACTAATCGATTATTTTTAGTTATTATCTCTTTTACTTATCAACACAATGACATGAAGAAATTTTATTTACATCTAAATCGGGAAATAGTATAAATCTACATTGTCTTATCTCTAATGTCTTCTACAATTGATCATCATTTGTCAACACGAGATGGTAAAATTGACTTTCTATCGGCTATATATAATAGAATGGTTTTCTTTTTTTTATCATTTCCATAAATACTTCAAACCAAAAGGAATGGTCGATCGTCGTTTACTTTTTGTTTTCATAGTTGTAGTACTGTTTGTTTCAGTATTACATGCTGAACGTGCTCGTTATGATAATCTACAAGATGAAGAACAAGAAATAGATTCCTTAAATGATAATAATTATGAAGAAGGTATAAATGATTTTAATTAAATCAATATTAATTTTTCTTTGTTGTATTCAAGATCTTATTGAAACAGTTAAACGTTTTTTGGGAATGAAAAAAAAGACAACTACTCCAAAACCAAGCTCGGATGCAATTATAGCTTTATTTTCAGCAACTCCATCGACTGGAACTACATCAGCAACAAAATCATCAATTTATGATGATAAGTACGGCAGGAAAACAAGTAGCAGCACTACTTCTCGTTATGGAAGTAAATATTATTTATTATTTTAAAAGAAAAAGAAACTATCTTTTTATAATAAAACTTTTCATAGGATACAGTAGCACATCCCGATATGATCGTACAACAAAATCACCAGGTTTGTCATTTAAATATTAGTTGTCAAATTAAAATATTATATTACAGTTATTTTTTATTTTTAATTAGGTAAAGATGCATGTGGATTCACCAGTCCATGTGAACATGGTGGTACATGCAAAACATTGTCAAGTGGACGATACTATTGCTTTTGTACACAAGATTATTATGGAAAAAATTGTGAACATAGTAACTGAATCGATTTCTCGTATTTCTTTTCATGTCATTTGTTTTATTTATTTTTTAGAATTTTCAAGTAGTGGTTCGAGTAATGATGATCGAAGACGTAAAGATCATTGCGCGAGCTCTCCTTGTCGAAATTCAGGTGAATGTGTTGGATTACGTACAACATATTATTGTCGATGTAAAACACCTTACTATGGAACAAATTGTGATAAACGTAAAAATGAAATTTTATAATAAAGAAATAGTTTCTTCTTTTTTTAATTGATCATAGGTATTTCAAAACGTGAAGAATTTGTGGATGAATCAAGCGCATCTGAACAAGATTTACAAGAATATAAACGAGATTTACAAGAAGATACAGAAGATTTACGACGAGCCATTGCTAATGAAAATATGCTTGAAAATATTGAATAGACTCAATTTTTATTATTTAAACGAACATTTTAAAATATTTTGATCTATAGACATTTATCTTATTTAGTATTATTTAGATATAAATAAATGAGCATATCAAAATTTGTTCTTAATCTATATAAATACTTGGTATTTCAATATAATAAAATGCCTAGACAGCGAAATGTTTCAATTCAAGAGTCGACTCAACATCTTTTTTTTATAAGAACTCTCATCTCGAAGTTAAAAATGTGAGAAAACAAGTTATTTAAATATCACTTGGATATAGTATAGTTAGTGTCGTTTCTATTGAATTCACATTTTGTAATATGTTATTTTGGTGCAGTTCAAAAAAAGCCTCGTAACGTACGTAAAAAAAATGAACACTAGAAAAAACATAAGAACACTTCTGTTCATACAAATATGATCTTCAAAAGAAGAGATACTGCATTCACTGTTGCAAATATTAAATAGGCATGTAATCTTTGTCATCAAAAACACAGGAAAATTTTGGCAGATTCTGGTTAATTCGACACAGATTTTTTGTACAGTTCTTCTTCACTTGTAATGAGAGGAATCCATAAATTCAAGTCATCTAAAGTGAGTACAACTGAACCTTATGGGAATCACGAAAGGCTAATACAAGTATTTTTTTTTATCTATAGCTTGCTTTACTATGAAAGAATAAATTGTCTAACGAGAGAACATTCTTAAGTGATCCGCACTGTTTGCTTTCATATTTTATCAATATGTAAAAAATTACTAAAGTAGCATAGTCTCCAAAGATTTTCTACTTATGCTTAGATTTGGTTCAGAGAGCAACTTTTTGGTAGAGTCCTTCAATAGAAGTTCACTTTAAAAAAAAATTATATTTTTAAATTTCGACCTTAAACTTAGTACGCATGAAGATTTCGATTAGATATTTTCATATATAAAGTTTCATCAATTTTGGATATCACATCGCCAAGATATTTATTTCTCAATATACACTCTCCCCTTTCCGGAATTTCTAGAGATCGACTCATCAGAGAAATTAAAAACTTTCAAGACAGGTAGATCTTAACGAGTAGAGAAAAATTTGTCATAGACTCAGAGTTTTCGGAGGCTATCTTCTATGAGGTACTGGGATTATAATGGTGTAAAATGGCTCCAACTTTGGTTCCCGATTCTCCGAGATGTCATGTTCGATCGAGATGAAAATTTTTGCACAGCTCTCAAAAAAACGCATGGTTTCTTTTTTCAGTAAGAGCTACCGAAAATCAGTAGAACAATATTTTTTGAAAGAAAAACATACTCTTTTCAAATAGTGCATAGGTACAGGTAAACGAAGTTCACACTCGATCGAACATACTAAGACGGATACGTTTTTTCCATGAAAAAGTTGGTTTGGGAAAATCGCGAAACAGTGTACAATTGTCACTATTTTCATTACGTAAATTGTTTTTTTTTTCCACGTTAAAAGACAATTTTTGAATCCCCCAATGTACTCAGTAGGTAGATACTACTGTAGTCTATACAATAGCCGCAGAAAAACAATAATTATGAGTCACAAACGGCGGTGAGAGATGCAACATGCAGAATTAATGAAACTTTTGTACATGAGATAGTCTAATTGAGACCTTCATATGTACGAAGTCTCAGAACTAAATTCTTAAAAATATAATTTTTTTTTAGATATTACATTATTCTAGTATTATCCCACATGAATGTTCCTTCGCAAATGATTCTACATGAATAACGCTAGATCTATTTGTATTTCAAAATATGCTTATCATTCATTTCAAATACATTTTATTTATTTTTACTTAAAATAATATTGAAATTTATCTAAATAAAATAGTGCTACAATATTAAAACATCTTTGCACATGAATAAAATCTAATTGAAACGAGAATATTATTAGATCCTAACAATGGGAATACGAGTTGTTGTAATAAGTATTGGTTGAGTTCTTAAATGTTCCATATCTTTAACAACAGACCATGGTTCAGTAATTGTTTGTCGTTCATCTCGTGCATTTGGTTTTAATTTTGGTAATTCTAAATTTTCTTCTTCGTCAATACTTTCAACAATTGACCAATCAACTAATGAGCCAAGATGTTTTTTTCTTAATTCTTCTTGTTGATCTCGTTGATTTAATTTTTCTAATATTTTTCCATGTTTACGAAATGATGAATCAAATGATAAATCTGGTGATATTGTTATTGTCGGTGTAATTGTTACATTTTTTTTTAAATCAATACTATGTGAAGTTAAGTTAATATGTGATATAACTGTTGCTTGTGTAAGATTATGAGGTATGGATGCACGACGTGGTCGACTGATTAGTAGATCATGATTTGAACGATTGAATATAATAAGTACAGAAACTTGACGAAGAAATTCATCCCAACTTATAACAGAAAGTTTTCTAATTTAGAGAAAAAAAAAAATAATCAATGGAATTTTTTTTTCGTTGAAAAAATTTTACTCGATTGTTTCATCAATACGGTGACATTCGCGTAAAATAGCATCAATAAAATTACTACCATACTTTTTTCTAAAAAGAAAAAAAAACATTCGATTAAAAAAAAAATTGTTTTTTTTTGTTCGATGATATTTATAAATACTTTGTCATAAATATAAGATCGTGAAAAACTCGATTTAAATAATCTTTTGTTATAATTGCATTACTTTCATTATCAATTTTTAGATGTGGATCTTTAAGAAAAAGATTTTTTGCAAATATCAATTCTTTTTTAGTTAATTTTGTTGTTAATTCAGTCTTTAAAATAAATGATTACGTAAATGAAAAGAAAAAAAACAAGAACTTATTTAAATAAACTATTTACTTTATTTTTTGCAGCAATTAACTTACAAGTATAAAAGTGTGCAAAATCCGACCAAGTGACAGCACCTTTTTGTCTTGAATCCATGATATTAAAATGTAATTTTTCCAAATCTTCATTACAATGAGGAAATAAGTTAACATTATCTTTTGTCTTTCCTTTTGAACAAAATACTGCAAAATCGTTCAGAATAATATAACCATCTAAAATAATCAAATCTATAAATTTCTATTTCTATTGTTGAATAAATCCTACCTTTATTTTGATCCATTTTTTCAAAAGAAGAAATTAAATAATTAACTTCTTCTTGAGTCAATAATCGAGTAAGATCTCCCTAAATAAAATTTAAATTAAAAAAAAAACCTAAATAGACAAAAAAAAAAGAAAGAAAGAACATACACAATCAGGACACGTCCAATCTTGTTTGCCAAGACGTGGTAATGAAAACGATGGATCACTTACATGACCTCGTTGATAAAGACAATGAGAATGGTAACTTTTTATACAAACACGACAGCGAACATAATCACCAATACATGGACCATCACAATATTCACATAAAAGTTGATGAGCAATAGTAATCTTTGAATCAAAACAAACACAAAAAATACACAACAAATAATGTTGAAATGTAATTGACATACTTCAGCAATTTCTTTGTCTGTAGGTATTCGAGGTACTCGATATGTTGGTAAAGGTTTTCCAGGTGCTAATGTTGGTTGTACAGGGTATTTTTTAAATATATGTCGTTGATGACCAGGTAAAATAGATGATGGACCTATTATCATTAACATTAAAACAGTTTTTTAATTGATAAAATGATTATTACCTTGTTTTGAAGTTAATTTAGTCGTCTTTCGCGACAACATATCCATTGAAGCATCTCGTGCTAATTGCCAACTAGATTTTGTTATCATTGATTGATGTTTAGATATTGGTAAATGTCCATTCTTTGCTAATAAAACACCATTACGTTTTTGTTGTTGATGTTCATCAGTTGGAGTATCATTGATAAAATGATGACTTGTACCACTTTGTTGTTCATTACCCATATTTTTCTAAAATATCTATATTTTGAAAGAAAGTAACAATGACATACACGACAATAACACACTTAAAATTGTAATTTTATTACATGAGAACAAGGTGTCGACAAAGCGAAAGACATGTAAAATTGTCACTTTCATTTGTACATTATATTTTATACATTTGTAAAAACTATTTACAAGTTTCTGTCGTAGTGTTGTTTAACTCGACATGCACACAAGAAAAATCAAATTCAATCGTCAATTATATTTCAAACAGAAAAAAACAACATGACAAATGAATTCTCATATTATTGAAAATAGAAAACATGACGTCAATAGAAAACAATATGAACAAAGAAATTGTTAACGTCAGATAGAAACGTATACAACAATGAAATAGCCTTGAGTTACTATACATAGTAATTCTTTTTTTGAAGTCTCAACAGTTTGACACGTTTAGACTGAAGTAGGAAAACAATTATTATGGATACATAAAATTTTGTTATTTTTCTATTAAATTTAATAAAACAAAATTTTTTGTTCAAATGATATTTGATACTCGACTCTTTGGATTAGAAAAAAAACAAACAAGATATTTTATTTATGCTTAAAATTAATCCTTTTCAAGTGATTCAAAAAGATGTCTATCATAGAGTGACTAACAAAAATACTGAAATAATATAATGTGTCATAATAGGTAACTACAAAGGAACGAACAGTTATTTTTTAAATGATCTTAATTTCCTGGAAAAGTACGCGCTATACAGAAACGATCTTTTCTCAACATTCTACACATTATTGATCTTGAATAAATATACAATAATGAATGATGCTATTCATTTACTAGTGATTGGTTTTTACATATAAGTTATTGATTTAGTATTTAAATGTATTTTAGTTTATGTGTGTAATATTCATGAAGAATTAATTTATCGATTTTTGATTATAGTGATATGATTGATTGAGTGTGGAATATGGTATATTTTATAGATGTAACAAAATGTTTATTAATAATATGTAAGTGAATATCTTTATACAAAATGTTGTTATTTACTCAATTGTTAAATTATATTTGTTGAAACTATTTGTCATCTATATTAATTAATCATAAACTTTCGAGTTTATTGTTTGAGAAGAAGAGTTATAAAATATTTTTGCAGAATTCGTATTGTTACGACTTATGACTCTCAATATAATGAGATTTTTGAAAATATAGTGTTACTAAAATATCTATCAAATTGATGTAATTATCAAAGGGTAATGTTTGTTGTTTGAATAAGTGATTCTGCTACATCAAAACAATAGATTGGATGTGATTAATACTCGTCATTTTTATAATGCAACTAATCAGAGATGTCTCAAGCAGAGAGGAGGATTAGAAGGATAACCTGTTCTCAATCCTGGAAAATTTTCCTTTTTTTCCAGCAAAGTTGAACGATTTTCTTCGTTTCTTTGTTCAGCAACCTCCACAACAAGGGTTGATTCCCTCAAAATGTCGTGAACAGTACTGTCTCAATAGTCACCCTCCATCTTGGTAACCTCGAAATACCCTTGCAGCTGATTGAATATTGATGATTCGTAGTTTTCATATAAACGAGACGTTGCATGTAATGTGAATAAGCCTTTCATCAAAAATCGATCATGGCTCAGATGTATTCTAATCATATGTAAGTTTTAGAATATGTTAGGATCATAGTGGAGATGCTATACTAAAATTTTCCGTCTTACATTATGATGTTGTCGGAACATATTCAACACAAAAGGATAAAGAAAAGAATAGCTCATTTGACAACCGGAAGTTCTCTATGGTCTCTTATTCTATAGATTTATTTATTTTTGTTTATTTGAAAGAGTATATCAAACTTCAGTTCCTAACAAAGCCCTATTTTTTTTAATTATTACTTTTTAGACGAAGAAAAAAAAAATGGAAGACAAGTTCAATACCTCAAAAAATTTTCATCTATATATAGAAGCGTTTTTTTTATTTAATAATAAGAATAGCTTAATGCAAAAAAATGAGTTCTACCTGGACCTACAACTTCAGACTCTTTGAAACAAAAAAAAAGGAATTGGCTACAATGATGTTCCTTGAAGAATTCTGGAATGCGCAATCAGAAAAGTATATTTTTTAAGAACAAGGTGATGAAAATCATCAAAAAACTGGATGTCAAATAAAAACCTTATATCATTTATGAAAGATCATATCTCAGGCTATTATCTCAAATTCGATTTTTCTGACGAAAATTGACATTTTGTTTTTGAAGAAAGAGCTCTTAACATTTTTCTTTTGCTGTATAACATTTATTTCATTTTTAAACAATTGCGCCCAATCATATTAAAAGTCATCTTCGAACTTGAAATATAATGAACTGATTGAATCATATTTCTTCTATTTTGGTTCTATTTACTTCTATACTCTCGTCAATCATGATTAATCTATTTGCTTAATGAAAAATATCTTTATCTATTATGGTAAATTGTCTCTTATATCGATTCATATACCTTAAGTAAACAGATTAAAATAGAGGATAAATAACTAAATGAATTGTTATAAACTCTGATAATGTAACCGTCGCAGTAAGATTGTTTTTTAATGTTAATATGAAAACTTATCTTCTCAATATTCAGCTTTTAATTACATCAAGATATCCATCTATTGTCATAAAAAAAAAAATTATCTTTGTCAGACATTATAATCTTGATAATTGCTTGAAAATAAGATATCTCAACGACATATTCAATCTAATATCAAATCAATACTGAATAGAAGTAAAAAGAACAACAAACTGTTTAAGATTGTTCTCTTTTTACACTTTGATACAAAAAAGTTCTATTACGACAAATTATGATCCTACCACTTAATTCATCGATAAGTGGTCTCAAGTATTTTTGTCGATTATTTGAATATTGATAAAATAACGGATAACTCATAATGAATGGCCATTTTTTGTTAATCATCTATTTTATATATGCATCCTTTTTTTTCAAATTGAAGAAAATTCTATATGATCAATTTTTAATGCTGTGAATAAGATCATTGATTGATACACTATGAATTTCTTTTCTTATTCCATCAATTAATGAATCATAGTTTTTAACTTTCATTCATTGCATTTCACTGGCGATAGTGCATCACATATAATAATCCAGAACATTGAAATCGAAACTGTTCGTTAGTCATCTTTGATTGTTCATGAAGTATTTGAAATTCTCTTCAAATCATACCAATGATTCCTGATTTGTGTGCAATATGGTATCGTCTCGTTGGTAGATGAAATCATCAATAAGTAGACATTGACCTTCAGCTTGTGCATGTGAAAGCACAACTTCAATATAATTCTCATGTGATAATGTTTCACCAGATTTATATATAATTGGATACCTAAGGCCATTTTCAGAAGGTTCTTAACCAGACTACAATTCTTTTTGTATATACTGACTTTTGGTTTATGTTTCTTCATTCGTCTGATTCTTGTAGACTTGGAAGATAAACAAATTCTAATAAGAAATATTTCTAGTCACTGAATTGAATTGTCTTTCATCGATGAGTTTAAAAAAAAAAAAGTGAATTGATTGTTTACCGATAAATGATTACATGTGAAGCGTTGAGAATTATACACACCAAGTTTTGTCCATTTTGAAAGCAAAGAGTGCTTATGTAAAATAAGGTATACAATGTATCATGTAGAGCTTTTTACATTACATCTTGTAGTATATTTTGTTTTTTTTAAATAAACATATTAGATAATCAAAAGAATAGAAGTACAAAAACCGACCATTGATTATGGATTACTCATTATTTTTCATATGACACTAATAAAATTTTTATTAGTATTCAATACATGAAATAATTTATTATGAACATATTCTTAAATTTATAACAAAGAATGTAATGTTACATATTAACTACATAGCAAATAAAAACAAATGATAAAATCTACAAACACACACAAACATTAATGATCATTATTCTAATACTAAAGTTTGTCATAATTAATTATTTACAAATGAAATAGTGTTCAAGTTAAATTTGTGTTATTTCAACTGTTTCTTCAATAGTTTTTGATGAACCTTGCATATTATCATTGCTACTATTCATTGATTTACCACTAGCAACATGATTAATTACAAATTTTGGATCATCATCGAAATTTTTATAACGTTGATATAATGTACACATTAATATAATAGCAAATGCTTGTAATAATGCACAAAAACTAGCTATACCAATAAGTACAAATAATTCCAATGTAACATATTTATTAATAATTGGATAACAACCTTTTACATGCATCAATGATATTGTACTATTTGAACCATTATGATTATTAATATCTGTGTCACGCCAACAATTTGGTACACGACAACATGACGAAGGAAATGGATCTAATGGAAGATTATTGTAATCATTTTTACTACTAATTCCACAACAGTTATATTTTAATTGAAGAGGATCGATTAAATACGATGTTGATAATGGTGTTTGTTGAAGTGTACGTATAAGTAAAAGACGTAATTGTGGTAGAATAGCAAAGTAATAGAGAAATGACACAATAAGCATAACAATATTAAGTGCTGCTGCAAATATCTAAGTAAGAAAAATGGGCAAAAGAGAAGAAATTAGGAAAACAAATTGTTTTAAAAATAAACTAACCCATAAAACAGCAATAAATAATGATAATGATTTAAGTCTTCGAATAGTACTATAGATAGAAAAGAACGATAATACTAAAGAAATCGAACCTAAACCAATAAAGACAAACAAAATATAAAGTAGATATGAATCAAATTGATCTGTTTTAACAAGACGATTGACTATAGCTGCATCAGAATTAATAAAAGTTAAGTAAATGCCCAAACAAAGTTGTATAAGACCAGCCAAACCAATAAATACACATAGAGTACAGAACAAACATGCAACATTAATACAACAAGCCATTTTTGATTATATTGTTTCAGGTGTGTGTGTGTGTGTATATGTGTACGTGTACGTGATTTAGGTACGCTTTTATTCTCAGGTGGATAAAACAACGTCGATTCCACCTTTTCTCTCTCTTTCTCTTCTCAACTATACACACCTATATTTTCTTTCGTTCTCTTTTCTTATCGAATTATAGAACAAGAACTAAAGCGTAAAAGAAAAAAAGTTCATATTGTCTTACATCTTGTATAAATTTTCTCTCCTCCCCTTCCCTCCCCCCCCCCCCTCGCTTACTCTGCATATCTATAGGTGCTGTAGCCAGACGTAAGAAACCTTTTTTTTTTAATTTTTTCTCTCTCTCTTTTTCAAAAGATAAATTGATCGATCTTTGTAGTCTTGTTATATTATCGGTATGTGTTTGTTTTGTATGAACCAACTGAACATGAGTCTATTCCCATGGCATCGAAAGAGAAAAAGAGAAAGAGAAGAAGAAAAGCATATAATTTGAACCATGTACACAAGTATGTCTAACCGACAAGAATAATAAAACTCGTCATACATTCACTTGCTTGAAATAAAATAAAATGGCTTTTTTTATTAGTTCACTTTCTATATAATAGACCTACTTAAGCATTGAACACGATGACAACGGTCACACTATAGTTGCTTATCATTAAACATAAAACAACAAGAAAATAAAACGAGTGTCTGAGGACACTTAATATTGTCCTCAATCGGGATCAATTGAATAAAGATGATACATTATTAGCTTTGCTTTCAAAAAGTATATAAAAAAAAATCAAATTTTATCGTACAAAACTTTATTTCTACAAAACAAACGAAAACTTCTTATGTTCTGAAAAGACCCAAAATTAAAAGTTGATCTCATCAATTTAGTTATCTTCATAGGACATAAATGTTCTCGGTTGATCCATATTTGTCCGTTTAACGAAAAGTTCTGTTGACATGTCATTATTTACCAGCGGCAGCTAGTATCGCTGATCAACTTGAATAATGCATGTTTGTGTACAAAGAACTGTCAAACATTGTTTTATTTTTCTACGTGCTTTCTTATCTTATTTGGTTTTTCTAACCATATTAAGTAAAAGCTTGCTTTTTTAGCCACCAGCAAGCCAATTGGCCGAAAATAGCTTTTTTTCATGTCATTTTGTTCTGTTTTTCTGTATATTTCCTGGTATCCTATTTGTAATTATTGGTTTCTTATCTATTTCTGTCTGGTTACAAAAGATTAAGGATGACAGGCAGAAAAACAACACCCACATTGCTGATAAATAGTGTACAACGGTTGCGGTTCTGTATATATTTAGGATACGTTTACTGGCACTTTTCTTTGATAAACATAGTTAAGACACAAGATGGCATTAGATCGAGCAGTAAAAGGCAAAGTATGAATAAAACATAGTTGAATAAATAAATGCTGATATTAATCTATTTCTTAGATATCTCTCAAACGAGATCCTGAACAAGAAACAGCAGCACGAGAATGGATTGAAGCTGTTATAGGTGAGAAATTTCCCACAAATGATTATGAAGAAGCTCTTCATGATGGCATTATTCTTTGCAAGTAAAATTTAAACATGTTTTAATAGTATACATATATATATATATCGTTTATTTGAAGGTTAATGAATAAACTTAAACCTGGCTCAGTATCAAAAATTCATACTACAGGTGGTCCAATGAAATTACGTGAAAATATTGCTGTTTTTCAAAACGCTGCACGTGCCTATGGTGTTAATCCAAGTGAATTATTTCAAGCGGTTGATTTATTTGATAAACAAAATATTGAAATAGTTACAGTAAGTTTTTTAGTCTTATCAATTAAATTCTTTATATTTACAAATGTTTTTTGTTTAGATATGCATTTTTGCTTTGAATCGCCTTGCTCAAAAGCAAAACTTTTCTGGACCGAAATTAAATTATCAAACTAAATTACCCGTTAATGACTAAATCAAAAGACATTTTTCTTTCTTCTCTCAATTAACCAACCATATTTCTAAATCTATTTTATTTTAAAAATAAAAATCATATAAAAGAAAAAATTAGTATTCACTGTCAATAAACTTGGCAATCGTATTTAATTGCATATTACTTGTTCCTTCATAAATAGTTCCTAAAATTAGATTTCTTTAACATTTAAAAATATTCAAAAATAAAAATTTAACTCACCAACTTTACAATCACGGAAAAATTTTTCTTGTGGATAATCACATGAAAATCCAAGACCACCCATAAAATCAATGCTATAATTAAAATTGATTTCTTTTTCATTCAAAATTCATAGATACAATAGAAAAAGTATACATACCATTTACTGGTTACTCTACCTGCTAACTATAAATAGAAGAATACAATAGAAAGAGAAAATATAATGATATTTCTAACCTCTGATGCATAAAGTTTAGCCATTGCTGCTTCTTTTACAAATGGTAATTTAGCATCACGTAAACGAGCAGCATTATATGTTAAAAGACGAGCTGCTTCAATTTCTGTAGCTAACGAGGCTATTTGATGTTGCATACCCTAAAATAACAAAGTTTCAGATAAAATAAATAGGATATATTATTTATCATACTTGAAAATCAAATATACGTTGACCAAATTGTTTACGCTCTTTGGTATATGGTATTGTTTTATCAAATGTACCTTGACAAATACCGAGCATCTATATAAAATCAATAACATAAGAGACAAACTATAGAAGAAATTTACTAACTTGAGCACCAATACCAATACGACCTTCATTAAGCATTGATATAGCATATTTATAACCTTCGCCTTCTTTACCAAGAAGATTTTTAGCTGGAATCTATAATCAAATAGCAATTATTTCATATTTAAATTATAATCAGATAGCATTGAACTTTTATTTACATTTGAGCTAGGGAGAGATACAATTCAACGTGAAACTTAGCTAAATTAATATAGTTTAGATCAGTATTTCGATATGTAAAGCAAGTGCATAAGTAAAAAACAATGGTATAAATGACAGTGAAAGTAATCATATATGGGTAATTTCCGACGAAATAGGACATACTAACCTTACATGTGGCATCGACCTTTTACAACAATTATTTTTCTCAATAAGTTCTTTTAGCATAGAGATATGTAAAAGTCTTGCCTATTGCAAATAAATATTATTTAATTCAACAATAATTAACAAATATCTCTCTAATCATAGCAGAAAAAAATCCGAAAACTTCAGGATAGACTCTAAAATCCAAAATGCATCTATGTTGAAGTTTTCAGCAAGATCAAATGCCAAAAAACTTTCTCGTAAAAATCGGTTTCCTAGAGATTTTTCCAAGCCCCGGAATAAAAATGTTTATCTACCATCATCTAGAGATTCTAAAAAACGTTTTGTACTGTTTGGAATTGGTTTTGAACTTCTCATTCGGTTATATGAGCATTTTTTTCGTACTCTGTCACATCACTAACAAATGACATTTTAATATATTCTTATCTTTCTTTGTTGACGAGAAACAGAATGTAAACAAATTTATTATGCATTTAGGGAGAACCGAATATTCATATATTGATCTATTATATCGTAGTTAAAATACAATATGAAACATTCTTCCTTATTAACACGAATAAAGTAAAAATAGATAACAACTAGAAAAAAGTATTGATATATATATATATATATCATAGAGTCTATAATCCATGTCTTCTTATAGAAGGTCCTTGATATTTTGTTATGTCCAAACAAATAAATATTCCACGGGAAATCAAAATAATTAATTACATTTTTCAACATAGTCGTATCGGTTTGAAGACTTTGAAATGATTTTTTAAGATTGCAAAAATACAGAAATTATGGTATCTACAGTTTTCATTGACTTTCTGCTAAGAATCCGAAAAATTAGATATATTTCCATTTTATAAATATTGATTAAACTTACATGTTTGTTATTAATTAAATAAATAAACGAAGATCTTCTATTATATAAATTATAAAACATTACTTTTTTCAGGAAACTTTTCCGTTATGAAGAAATCTACTGATACGGAGACTTCTATTATAGAGATAGTCATTCAGATGATAAGTATTTCAAATAAGAGGAATGAGTTGAAAATAAAAATTTTTGGTTCAGTTTAAATTTTGAAAAACCAAAACGGAGCCGATCTTTGATTTGAACTAATACTGTTTAGAGCAAAATTTTAACTTTATTTATTTTTTCTCGATTTAATAAAGAAGTTACAATATTATCAAGAATGCAGAAAAAGATCTCCAATAAAATTAAATAAATATTCATTTAATTTGACTGTTGCAACTCTACACAAACTACGATATGATTTAAAACATTTAATTTATTTCATAACCGGCAAAGTCATTAAGCTTGGATAGGCTCGAACATTTCTTTCATATTCAATCGGATTGACATATGTATGCTGTGCATCAAAATTTTTCTACAAACGTGAAAAAATGTTCATTGCCTTCGCCAGCAAATAATAATATTTGCATAGTGAAGCATACTTAAAAAACGTTCTTGAGCAAATGTTAAATTTTGTATGATTAAATATTGGGTCCTAGATTGCCAATGATTTAAAGTAGTACTCTTTTATGAACAGTGAAAAAGAACTGTACGAGAAAGTCGTGTCAGAAAAGCTATAAGCTACCGAAAGTTTTCTTCATCATCAGCTGCTAAGCTTGTATGTTTAAGAAACATTTTCAAAAATGCGAGCATACTTTTAATGAAATTCATTTTGCTTTTCTGAACACTGTTGCTTCACTATAATTCTCTTTTTGCAGTGAAACAGATCAAAAACTCTTCTTGTGATAAGAGAAATTAATTAAGAATACTTTTTCTCTTTTTTTGACCATTTCTAGCTCTTGAAGACAATACAAATGATTAAGCTGAAATATTTACCACCGATAGAGCACGATAAATAAGGAAATTCTGATTTTTCATACGATCACATCCAAGTTACTTACGACCCTCATATAACTTTGTTCAATCGGATTGAAGTTTTTATCAGTGATTTTTGGAAGTATTTTCCAGAGATAGAATCGACCGTCTTCGTTTTTGACTTTCCTATTCGGATTTATAGGATCCTAAAAGTCGAGATTCTTGAAAACTCTTAAAATTATCTCTAAGATATGCTCTTAGATAACCACGTTTTTTTTTCAGGAAGAACTCACTTCAAAAATCTTTTCCTCGAACACTTGTATACTTAGTTTTTGTGCTCTGGCTATAGTAAAAATTCTCAGCATGATTATTTGTACCGTGTTCGACAACTAGAAACTTTCAAACAAGACGAAAGGTATTCTTCAAGACAAATTTTGACATGTTTCTTCAAGTGCACGTTTTTTTCATGTAGAATGTGACTTTTTTTTTCTGAATTGAATCAACTTTATACAGTGCAAAATGTGAGATGAAGATAAGAAGCACTTATTGTATTTCATCAAAATGACATAAAATGCTTTGTCTCCTTCTCCTCCTCTTCCCCATTGTTAACTTTTCAGTGAGAATTTTACCAAGATTGTTTAGCCTATCATAGATTTACAACATTCCGTTACCTATGATCTTATTTTAATTGTACATTAAAGATGTGTATAATAAGCTTTGTATATCTACTAACTGTCCTCGTTTTCTATCGAATAAATAATCTATGTTTAATCTATTATAAATCTACATATCACTGTTGTTGTTGATACATACTTTACAATCATCAAAATGAACCATGCATGTCGACGATGCTTTTAAGCCAAGTTTTTTTTCTCGTTTTCCAATACGTAAACCTTCTGTACCACGATCAACAATAAATGTTGAAATGCCTTTATGTTTCTAAAGGAAAAATCCGTACAATATAATATTTCAAATAAATCTTTATGTTCTTTTATTACGGCTTGTGTATTTGAAGTTGCCATAACAAGATATACTCCACTAATTTCTGCATTGGATATCCACATTTTTGTTCCATTTAATATATAGTAATCACCTTGTTTTTTTGCTGTTGTTTTTAAAGCAAATGCATCACTTCCAGATGTCGGTTCTGTTAAACAAAAACTACCAACCTAAAATAGAAGAAAAACATATCATAATTTTCATTATCATTTACAAAGAAAATAAAAAGAAAACAAAAAACAGCACGAGATTTTTAGCCATTCGTGGTAAGTAATCATGTTTTTGTTCTTCTGTGCCATAATTGAGGAACAGTCGAGTAAATAAAGTATTTTGTAGATCAATAAATAATCCTATGCTTGGATCAACTTTTGAGATTTCTTCAATGGCAAGTACTACTGCAAAAAATGTTTGACCTGAACCACCGTATTCCAATGGAACATCGATAGACATTAACTAGAAAAAAAAGGAGAAAATAATAAATTCAAATAAATTACCATATTTTTTGCTAAGCGAGGTAAATAAGTGGCTTTTTGTTCATCATTAGCAAGTTGAATGAAAAAAGGATTCACAACTGTATTTTGCAAATCGATAAAACCTTAATCAATAAAACTATTTTTATTTGTAAAACTAATGAATTAGCTCATACCCCCAAAAGCACTATCTAAATGAATAAAATAAAAATAAAAACGTAATTCTTTAAAAACTTGTTTAATCTATGATAAGAAATTGTTTTTTTTTTCTTTTTAATCTTCTAACCTATTTTTGAAGCTTCCTCAATCGCCAATATAGATGAAAAAAGATTGAAACCACTGCCTCCGTGTTCCGTAGGAATTTCAATGCCAAACCACTACTTGGCAGAATGAATGTATCAAACAAAATTGCGAAAAAAACAATCACTCACGCCTTGGTCAAAAATAGCCTGTATTAATTCAGGTTTGTATCCACCTGCTTCTTCCATTTCACGAACATAAGGTTCAACATGTTCTTTGGCAAATCGAGAAACTATTGAAACGAATTAATATTAATTTAGTGAATAATTATCAAAAATATAAATAACCTGTTTCTTTTATCATTCGTTCTTCTTCGGAAAAATTATATAAAGATTGATTGATCGCCGTAGAAGCCATATTGCATTGACGAGGGACCCATGACTTTGGTCTAATAAAAATAACATTTATTATTATTATTAATTCTCTAACTAACAAGGAAAGATCCCTGATTGTGTTCCTGAACTTTCTTTTAAAAATTACATTGGCTTGGCAATTGAAGAACTCTGATTTCAGATTTGAAAACATTGTCTGCTGATGTTGCTTCAGAAAAAACAGCTATATCCAAAACATTTTCTTGACTAGCTACCATGTGCACATAAATGTGTACTAGCGTATAAGATACTATCATCTTCTTCATAGATGAGAAGTAAAGTAATGATATAACCTGATTTGTAAAAAAGAAATGTGTAGTTATATAAGTTGTCAGATTTTTTTGCTTTTCTACCAAGAATGAATGACGAAAAATATGTGACTATTTGAACACTTGATGTTTATACTTCACTATAAGCTTTTTGTCATAATATCTCCATTTACTTCAGAAAAGAACGTTTGATTGCGAGCATGAGATTGACATGTATAATGAACTCTTCCATTGTACATGCCAATCTCATGTTCACAATCAAACACTTTTTCTGAAGTAAAAGAAGATGCTCCGACAGAAAGCTTATAGTAAAGCATAAACATCAATAATTCAAATAGTTACATGTTTTTCTTCATTCATTCTTGATGGAAAAATAAAAAATCTCACAGTTTATATAACTACACTCTTTTTACGAAGTTGGTTATATCATTAATATAGTTCTCATTTATGAAAAAGATAACAGTATCTTATATGGTAGCCCACTGTTATGTACACATGGTAACTAATAAAAAAAAAGAAGTTTTTCTGAGGCAACCTCAATAGATAATCTTTTCAGATCTGAAATAAGAGTTCTTCAATTTCCATGCCAATGTCATTTTTAGGAGAAAACTAAGGAACATAGCCAGGGACGTTTTCTTGTAAGATTTGGAAATAATCTCACTGTATTGTTCGTAATAAATGAGCTGCTGAAATGAATCGACGAAGATTATTCATCATCTGAAAACAAAAGTCTTTATTTCATATTTTATCTGGATATTAAAAACCAAATAACCACGAAAACAAAAACGAAATATGAACAATAATAACAAACAAAAGAAAACTTTCAATTTATTTATAACGATTTGGCCTATGTTCATATGCATTCTTTGCTACTTCCATTAAAACTTCATCACCTAGTGATGAATGTGATGTTTCAGAACTTTGATCGTCATCGATTTTAATATCTTGTTGATTTAAATTAATTATTGGTTTACTTTCAATATCCATATGTTCAACTGATGATGGAAGATTAGGTGATGACCAACGTGTTGTTCTTGGTCGTTTATTTTGCTGTATTTGTGATTGATAAAGACGAAAAGAAATTAATAGTTGTCGAATTGAATCTAATGTTTCCTCATATGAATGTTCAAGTTGTTGATCTATTTTATGTGGTGATGCACGATGATATTCATCATTCATTCTATTTGTAAGACGACGTTCTATTGACATTATCATTTGTTCAGCATCCTGTAAAGATTTGTAATCGGATAATTTGACAGTTGATCGACAACAATCTATTTCACCAACAATTAATTTAATAAATTGATAGAATGAGGTGAAACGTAAATGATTTAAGACATTAAATAAATAATCAAGTGATTTTAATATCTATATAAAAACAGAAATAAAAAAAAAATTATTTTTTTTTTCCAATGTATAGAAACTTACATTTCTAAATAACGAAAAATTGTTATCTTTGTCTTCTTCTGTTGATCTTCGATACAATGATGATGATCGATGAGGAGATGGTGATAATGCTCGTGGTTGTTTTTGAGAATGACTTTCGAAATGAGATCGAGATGATGAAGACGAAAAATTTGTTAATGATGTTCGATCAACTGAACGATTAGTTGATGATATTCGATCAATTGAACGTCTTGTTGATGATGTTCGATCACTCGAACGATTTATTGATGATGTTCGATCAACTGAACGATTAGTTGGTGATGTTAGATCAACTGGACGACTTGTTGATGATGTTTGATCAAATGAACGATTAATTGATGGCGCTCGATCATTTGAATGGCTTATTGGTGCTACTCGACCAGTTGAATAACTTCTTGATGGTGTTCGATCAACTGAATGATGTTTTGATTGCGTTCGACCAGCTGAATGAGTTGTTGATGATGTTCGATCAACGGAACTACTTGTTGACGGAGCTAGACTACTTGAATGATTTGTCGAAAGAGTAAATGCACTTTGTTTATTGTTGTTTTTATTATTAATCCATTGATCACGTAGAGTCTATAGATTAAAATGTTTTTAAAAAAATTGGAATATTATGATATTTTTGCAAAAAATGTATATAAACGGTGAAACCCAAATAGTGTAGGAATATGTATGTAGTTTCAGTAATCTGTTCACCGAAAACTCACACTAACTGCACTGAATCAGTGTTCACTAATTTATCTGACATATCCATACTGTATGGGTATATTAATGCTTCAATGAACACCGATCCAGTGTAGTAGAGTTGAGCAAGTATGAATTTTCTCGAGTAAGATACCTTAGAACATGTGTCGAAGGTCGCTACAGCACAGTCATCGAATATAAATGCATGTACATTTACTTAAGATTGCGGGCGGAAGAAAGTACCTATTTGCTTTATATCCGAAGAAGAGAAACTGGTATCTGATATTGCTTCAATACAACAAATTTAATATAAAACAACGAAAGCGAATAAAGACCATTTTTCTGCTCTCAAATTATTTCATTTTTTGCTGTGTTGAGATCAATCCGGCCATAACACTGGATAATATTGTAAAGGTTTATTTTGAAACGCCTCTCGATCAATTTTCGAGTCACATCCATACTTTTCTACGAGGTCAACAAAACCTTGATCATCCTTCTAGAAATATTTGTATGAGTTGAACACTTGATCAAGAGACATCGCGAAATAAGTCATTGCAATTATATTAGGAATCAACATCCAATTGATTTCAAGACAAAAACTAAAATATTTCGAGGGCAGAGCAACGGCTTTGTTTGTCATCATATTTTCGAGTGCTTGATACTCAAATAGGATTTTTTCGCACAGCTATACAGTGTAGTCAGTGTCTCAGGTTTTTTCATCGAAACTGCACATCACTAAGACAGCATCATAACTATTTCAAAGGGAAAAATTATGCATCATATTGAGCATAATGATTAAAATGATATTAGAATTAGAGATATGGAGGTCATCACAGGCTAAAAGAGATATTACTGACATACAATCAAAACCGTATATCAATAACACCTCGCTATAATACATGAACTCCTTTTTTTATTACTTTTCTGTAGGATTAAATTAAAAGATAGTAAAGAAATATGTCCCAAAACAGATAAAATAAAACAATTTCCTTATGGATAGTAATAGCAGCTACATCGTGTCTCATGTTTTAATCCTGAAAGGATTGTGCTAACAACATTTTTCGTCGATTTTATTTTTCAAAACTGCAACTAATTATCATAGTAGCTAATTGTTGTAGAACCTTTTCTGCAAAGTGTACATATCCGAGAAACTTTGCATGATATTTTATCTTAGAAAACTGGAACTCAATCCGATTCGGATCACTGACAAGTACTACTATAAATACCAAAGAATGATCCAAAAGTTTCGACTCTATTCTATAAATTGGCGTTATTTATACAAATACATATGAAAATAGTACGCTAACATACACAGTTTTGTACAGAAAGATAAAACCTAGCCTCTGAAAAGAAAATAGTTCGAATTCCATTGAGATCATGAAAAGTTATGATTTCATTATTATTAAACATATTTAAGCATTTTACATTTTTCAGCAAAAACAAAATTTTGTAATATTGGATTGATTAAAGTTGAATAAAATATTAGATTTCGAATGGTTCAATAGAATTCGACAACCTCTACAAAAATATAAACATCAAAAAACAAAAACTTCTGATCCTGTTTCGAATACAAAACATGCAGAACTCGTATACATTGCAAGAAAGAATAGGCTTAACTTTTCATAATATTAGTTGATCGACTGATAATTGATGTTTCGAGATATAGTGTCGCATACTGAAACAGAAATAAACTTTTCGAACAGTCGATTAACTAAAATTATCAAAAGCTTAGCTTACTCTCTCCAATGATGAATACATTAAATATTTATTATGCTTTCTGACTTTTCAAAGTTTTGTATTGGCAACAAGGCCAATATTTCTCTTTAGATGTTACAAACATATTCTATTTTAGTAAAAAATATAAGATGTGAAATGTTTACCTATTATCAATAAAGCAAACATAACTTATCATGATGTGAGATGCAATTTCGACTCTCTTCTTTTCAGCCAACTATCTATATATATATATATTCATATAGATAGCGTTAATTTACAAACAAGAGTAGACATTTTTGGGCGATCTTTTATTATAGATTTTAAAATTGAAATCATGAGAAACCTATGAAAACTGTCATAATTCAAATTTCTTACATTGAAATTTCGATGAAATTGATTAAATGCATCAATAATTATTGAATGTGGATCAATATGAGACATTTTAATTTTATTTAATTCTATTAATGATTTAACTAATCGAGATGATTTTTCAATTTTATCAAATATATCATCATATATTTGTTTATCGTCTATTAATTGAATTTGTTTTTTTAATCGATCTAAATTATTCGATGAACGACCACGAATATCACATATCAATTCGAATATTTGAAGAAATATATTCTCATGCTTATATTGAGTAACTAAATGACGTAAATAATCAACGAATNCTAAGTACATCATAATAATTAATGTAAAAATACATTTTTTGTTTGTTCTTTGTTTTTATTTCAATTAAAAATGAAGAATAATTAAGAAGATTTTAATATAAGTATTATCGCCGCGGTAGTATAATGGTAGTACATCCGGTTGTGGTCCGGATAACGCAGGTTCGATTCCTGCCCGTGGCATTGGATTTTTTTTTTATATCTTTCTTAATATAATTATATAGATAAAAAAAAAAGCTGAATTAAATGAAAAATATTGTGTCTCTTATTGATGTACCAATTCCATAATAAAATTGTTCTAAAAAGTATTAGACATAAATTAATATATATATATATATTGTTTGTATAAAAAGTACTTCATTATCATTATAGAAACAAACATCTTTATGACAATTATGATATATATATACATATTAATTATCGATTATTGAGTGTTTGTTTTTTCTCATTTATAAAATATGTTTATAAATAAAAAATTAAGGAGAACATATTGATTGATATTAATTTTTGTTATATTATCGAAAATTTTTCTAAGAAGATAAATCTTGTTAATCTCAGATTGATTATATTTATAATAAAATATTTATTAAAATTCTATAAAATAAATCTAGTTATCTATTTTATGAAAATACATTAAATAATATAATTTGATTTTAAATGAGAGAAAATCTAACAAATTAAATAAACAATATAATAGATTTATTGTAAGAGATATAATTATACACGTATAGGATATTTATATTTTCAACATTGACATTTTAATTAATTAGCGATTTTGATAAAATTATTCATTGAATCGATTTTTATTTTAAAAATTTAAAAAAAATATTCTTTAAACAATTGTTTGTTTTATTTCATTTATTATGTTAATTAATGAAATAAATTCAATCTTATTTAACTAATTTTTATTTTATGAAAAAAACAAAACAAAAACAAAAATATGTGAAAAACATTGATTATCGAATTTATCTATGGATTTTATTGACTAAGAATTATCATCATACATAATAATATATTCAAACAATGATTAAATAAATATATTTATTAAAATAATAGATTGAACTATATTTAGAGTTAAAAATATGTTTTTAAATATTCGTAAACATTAGAGAATAAAATATATATATATATACTCGACTGTTTCAATACGATGGATTCATCTATTAACAGCATAATGAGTTAGATCTTTAATTAAAATAAATAAATAAAAACATTTATTTTATTTTATTTCAACATTTTAAATATATTTCTTAATGATAAAAAGCTCTAGTCAATTTTGTGATTAGAAATGTTCACAAATAAATAAGAAATCTAAACAATTAACTATGAATAAAAGAGAAAAATCATGTTAATCATTTATTAACAGAATCGGTTTTTGTTTTAATCAATATTGACAATAAGATTACATGTCTTCGGAGAGTATCCCCGGAAACTCGATTATGTCCTAGGGGTAAGAGGTAGATAGATATATAGGTATAGGAGGTATAAGAGCTATAGAATGTATTGCTTAAACTTCTTTCGCCTCGCCCTCACCTGCGGCGTTTGTGTTTTCCTGTGCGTCCTACTAGGAGAAACTCCTTTCGCCGCATCCACACCTGCGGCGTTTGTGTGTAAGTATGTTTTTATGCAAGTCCCGTTCGGTAAAACTCCTTTCGCTGCACCCACACCGGCGGCGCTTGTCTGTGAGTGTGCATTTGTGTTAGTGACTATCTATGGAACTCCTTTTTGCATCATTCTCACCTGCTGCAATGATATGTTTGCGTAAGGTTTAGAGAATCATGAGTGTTTAGAGCGTTTTCGGGTTGAAACCTGAGAGTGGAAAATTCGAATTGGATGGTGTGGATATGGGTGTTAGTATGAATAAATTACCCACACTCTCAGGAGAAAAAAAGCTCTATTTTTCATAAGAACTGTTAGAAATAAAGCGGCTTCTAGTTTCGCGTACAATACCCATAGCTTCTAAACAATTCTAGCCAAGAATCATAGTGTTGCACAGTTTTATGGATCTTCAACTGTTGCTTTGCATAAATATTAAATAGTTGAGAACTGCTTGTATTCTGCTATGAAAAACGTTGTTCCAGAAAACGTTAAATTGAATACTTGAGAAAAACCAAGTCGAAAGAATATAACGTATGATTCGATGCGTCTTAATTTCCTCTTTCCAATGGTGAAAACCGCACCTCTCAATCTTTTTCCTTTCAAAAGTTACATCAAAAATACGAGTGGCAGTCATATTGTTGTTGGTAGTATATCTGCTATACCTCTTATACCTCCTATACCTATATATCTATCTACCTCTTACCCCTAGGATATAATCGAGTTTCCGGGGATACTCTCAGAAGACATCATATGAGTTTCTCTCTAGTTTCTGCTCAATCTATATGAGACCTTCAGTGAGTTTTTGATTTTTCATTTAACTTCAAATATCGTGGCTCTCAAGAAATTATGTATTTCTATTTTCGAATACATATACACTACTGGCCATAAGTCCCTGGATGTGTGATACTTCCTCATAACTTCAATAATTTTCCACGAAATTTTTACCAGAGATAGAGCTTAAAAAAGTGTGATCGCAAGCACCAACCCGAGCTCTATCGACTGATATAGTATGGAGTTATGATTCAAACATTAGTTTCACCTCTGTTTACTTATTAATCAATATTCACAGTTTTTATGGAAAAACAATCGCGATGCTAGAAGACTTGTTTAATCTCTAAGTAGTTGTTTCTTAGTTCGTTAATATTAGTCTACTATTCTCCAGTGTTGTCTTTATTGAGCAATAAATGCCCACTGCGTATTCCTATAACAACTTACGAAACAACCTAAAGATTAAACAAGACCTCTAGTATCTCGAATGGTTTTCATAAAAACTGTGAATATTGATTAATAAGTAACCAGAGGTGAAACTAATGTTTGAATCATAACTCCATACTATATCAGTCGATAGAGCTCGGGTTGGTGCTTGCGATCACACTTTTTTAAGCTCTATCTCTGGTAAAAATTTCGTGGGAAATTATTGAAGTTATGAGAGAGTATCGCACATCCAGGGATCTATGGCCAGTAGTATATTTGTGCGAATTTTGAAAGTTTTAAAAAATTTTGACAATTTACTAAACTGAAGTTTTCTGCATTTTGACATACGGGAGTTAAAATCTGTACCAATTTGAGATATATCATTCTATGATAGATGTTATCGAATGATGTCGTTTTTTGATTATTTCATTAGTCCATTTGGTTCTTTTTAACTATTTGGTAGTGGACGATAAACAAATAATTTATATTGATTAACATCAATTTCTTTTGATTTTTCTAATAATGATTTTAATTCTGCATTATCACCTTCAATACATAATTCATGTAAATCAACTATTTCATTTTCATCATGCGGACTAGCTATCGTTTTGTTTCAAATTTAATTTAATATTACAAAAATAACGATGACGAAAAACAAGCAAAAAGCTTTTTATTGATCTGAATATTATCTAATACAAAAAATAAATTCTGAGAGACATCATTAAGTAATAAGACAGAATATCACAATTGCCAAAATAATAAACAGAAAGAATTTTTTTCAATAAAACAAAATAGATTTAAATGTGAGTTGTTTTTTTGTTTTTCTGTATTTATAATTATCATCGATCAAAAAAAGATCTTTTCGTCGGAAAGAAAAACAAAACAATGCGCCTTTCTATAGGCATGTGAAGAATAAAATAGCACTATCTAGATTCTTAGTTCCAATTCTATCAAAATCTCTTTATAATTATCCCAATTTCAATTATAACAACTTTTATCCTAATCATAAATATCTGAATAAAGATAAAATTTTCTTTCTCATCTTTATTCTGACGAATAAAGTCATTGTCAAACATAAAAGAAAAACGAAAAAAAAAGATTTACAAGAATCAAACTTTACATGAGACTTATAATCACCAAAACACGTATTTGAATATAAAGACACAATCATAAAGAAAATTAAATGAGTCACTATAAACGATATTAAATAAACCATTATAGACAAATATCATATTCATACGAAAACCATTACTCCACATACAGAAACTTTTTAAATAAGTATATTTAAATAGACGTTTTTTTTTCGTTTATTTGATACAGCTGTTGATTGCCGAGCTTTTGTTACAACTTGACCTAGAACACAAAACAATATATATAATTTACATTAGAAAAATTTACCTTCAATGAAATCATCTACGCATCTTTGGCTAATATTAAAAAAATGTGCTTCGATTTCGTTGGTCTGCTCTATATAAAAAATAAAATACTGTACTGAAAACGAAAAAGGTTTACACTTACTTCCATTATGAATCAGATTCATCATTGAGACACGTTCTTTGCGGCAACATTCCTGTATAGTCGCTTTACTAAAACAAAAGCATATTATTCATATGAGAGTGAATAAAAATCTACCTTTTCATAACTTGAAGGTCAGCTGAATCGATGGTTTGTTCAAGTATATTGATATCGTTAATTACATCTTTGAAAAAAAGAATAATTTAATAGAAAATACTATTTTAATTTACCTTGCCATTGTTTAAGTTCAAAATTGATTCCAACACGTAATTCACGAGCACATTTTATTTGATCCTTAGTTGAGGTCTGATTGTTGATGATATTTGTTAATAACTAAAAAAGAGAACTTTTTTCGATCAAAATCAAGAATAATATTTACTTTTATTTTTTCTTCATTACTTCCAAGCATTATTTTAAGTTGTAATTGATCAGACGACGACATTTCATTGAAATAAGAATACAACACAAGCAGTTTGAATGAAGACGACGACGATGAATTAAGATAAGAAATGGTTACGTTCGAATATGTTTATCCCTACTTTTTATATACCAGGAGAACAATAACATTCATAGATGGACGAAGATATAAATTCAGGAGAGGAGAATAAAGATGATAGTCATGATTGGATGACTTATCGATGTGTATATGTCGTCCGTTTCGTTCCAACTTCTAAGTTTTATTATTCAATAGATGATTAGTCATCGATTTTTACACTATAGCATAAGATATTCTGGCAGATGTCAATAATCAATAGTAAAGCATTTCAGTTTATTATAATGGTTACAGTTCAGATAAATAAAAAAGCAATACTAATAAATTCAGCTGAAATTCGATTCATTTGAGTTTTTATTCGCTGAAAACAAAAATATTTTGGTTATTAAAAAAAATTATTTTCTCTAAACGGTGTGGTCATTGCTTATACAACTCTTATTCAATAAGAAGATGATTTTTGTGAAGAAAGATGGAACAAATTTGCTATCGCTATCTAGTTGATGCTATTCTATAGCTTGGGAGTTTTCGTTACTCACAAGTACTGTCCTCACGGCTTACTTTCGGTATGTTGTATCTTTTTTGAACAATAAATAATACCGTTTAATTACTTTTCTGAAATACAATAAAAGAATAAATTATAAAACACTGAGGCAAATTATATTTGTCCCGAAATAAGATACAATAAACTATCAGCTTATTGCTCGTGTTTCTCAATGTGAAACAGATTTTGAGCTTCGTATTTCATTGTATTTGTATTACATATGAATTCTCAGAAGATTTACATAAATGTTATTTAACTAAAATCTTGAAATTTCAAGAGATTTTTTATATTCAAATTCTAGTTTGTATTCATGGCTGTTGTCTTGCTTGTTCTCGAAGGTCTTACATTTCTATGTCTCGTCTTTCCTACTCATGTGGTAATATGCGACAGTAGGAGCTTTGCTATTAAGATGATTATTTTGTTTAATGTGATGATAAGTATTCTAACTTGTTCATTATATTGTTATACTTCAATTTGTTTGAAGGTGTTTATCGTCAAGTATGCTGTTAAACTAATGCTAATTTTCAATGCCAATGATGATTTTATTCTTGACAGAATCTAATCCGTTATTTACCCAAGATTTCAAGCACATTGAATCTTGACTATGGTTTTTGTTCCCTCTACTGAAAGGAGAATCATACACCGAGCAAGGTTCGTATGTTCGTAACTTCGTTCGTTCGTTCATTCGTTCGCACAGAACGAACAAAAGTTTTTTTGACCTACAAAAAATCATCGATCTTACAACAAAACTTAATCTTAGGCATTGGACTAGTTCATAGTCCAAAGCCCCCCCCTCCACCCAAACCAATCAGATGTCTGCTTCGTCTGCATGCCAGCCAATCAGATTTCAGGTATCAGATTTTCAGACAATCGCAGGTTTTCACGGTTCGGCTATGCACCAATGAGATTTCGAGAGTGGCCATTTGGACCAATCGTAGGTTTTCATGGTCTAGCTATGTGCGAATGATATTTTGAGAGTGGCCATTTGGACCAATCATAGAAGACTAAACGATAGCGCTGGTTCAGGTGGTTCACCAACATCAAAGTAACAACGTGCGAGTAACGATAATTTTCAACCAGTTCAGGAAGAAACACTTGGTCAAGGTAAAAAAATAACCGCTAATGTAACAGCGAAACATATGCATCAGAACAGAATTCCTTTCGATCAGATTAAACAAGCGATTTCGAGTAACCTGCGATGCTTTTATATAGTTTTCGATCGTACGAATACTGCTGAACAAATATCATCGGCGTTTAATGCTGCAGAAAAAATTATCGAAAATCTAAAACAAGAAGGTGTTCATATCAACCGATTTACTTTCGTTGGTTGGGCTGGAATGAAACTAAAATTAGGTGTAAACAACAAGGAGGATTACATAAAATTAGTCTCAACCGAAAAATGACCGACAAAAATCATGAATGTATCGATCACTATTTAAAAACCCAAGTATATCCCGGATTGCTTTGCACTCGCCATCCGTTATGTACCACGAGGCATGGATCATGAATTCATAAGAGAAGAAATAACGAGATCAATTGGAGCAGTAGAAAACATAGAGCAAATTCAACATGGATATACGCGAAAAACAGACGATTATCGCTTCAACGTGAAAGACTTTTGTGACTACAATAGGGTACTAAGTATGGGTCGTGTGTCGATCGGCAATGTTATGTTACCCATCTCAGCGTTTCTTCAGGGTAATAAAATAACTTATTGCAGCCGATGGTGGTGCATCGGGCACATGAGAGACAAATGTCAAACATCAGCTGCTCGTTGCCGTGTATGTCTTAAAGAAATTGACGAAAAACAAACGCATAATTGTTCTTATCAGCAAAGATGTGCACAATGTGATGGAAATCATCACTCACTTAGTAGCCAATGCCTAATAATTAGAACATATAAGGCACACTTGAAGGAAGAAGTCGACAATGTACTCTCAAGGGGTCTATTGCATCGATTAGAACCACAAAAACAACCATCAGAGCTTAATCCAGACGATTTTCCAGCTATGACAGCTGGGACAATGCTTTCAATGAGGCTAGTTCATTGTGAAAGTTTCAGCCTTTTTCGTCGCTTATGTGGTGAGATATGAATATTCCAAATTCTTTTGTGTGAGGGAGCGAATTTTGTGTTTCTTGTTAGTATATCACGACAGAAACAACGGAAAAGGCTGAACTCTCACTATGAAAGAGTTTTTGATTGGCAGTATTATCTACGCAAAGCTTCAAAGCAAAACTAAAAAATTCAGCTTTCAATTTGACCTGAGAAAGAGTGCGGAGTTTTGTTGAAATATACGGTAAAAACCTATTTTTCCAAAATTTTACGAGTAGACGGCCATAAATAGGCACATATAAGCAGCATTCAGTGAGAAGCATAATTATACAAAATATCAACTTATTAGCTTTATTAATTGTAAGAATTACTCCTGGTATCCTTTTTCTGCCCTGTGTGGTGGTGAGGATGGGGCGGATTTTGAAGACAAGAAGACTTGTAGGCCGACGCGACCGTCTACATCCATACACCTATGCCCACAGCCATACCCCACCCTGATCCAATTATTTTTATAATAGAAAGAGGTGGGGAAAACCGACTGAATAGACATTTTGACTTTGAAAACGGACCACTGCAACAAAAGACAAACAATAAACTCATTAAATATTAAATCGTTGATGGAACGATATACCCTCATCAGACAGAAAGAAAGATCTTCCGTTAACAGTTACGTTTCGCTTGAAATTTGGTGTGGGTATAGAGGTATGCACTAGTATACTCACTACAGAAATGTTTCAAACAAAAGCGGATAGGTTATTACAGATTTTTGTTTGTTTTCATACAATTATTTAAGTTTGATGCTAATTGCTATGCGATGCTTCTTTGTTATTTTGTACTTTGTTTCTCATTGTAAAATTACGATTTGTCAATAAATAATTCATATTCTTGTAGCTATTGAAATACTATCTGTGGCATATAATTGATCGTAATTAAAATTAATTAAAATGATGAAATAAACAAATTAGTACGGGAAATCACTTTGCAGAAAAATGTGTAATACTGCTATTGTACGGATATATTGATAATGGTAGAAAACTAGCAGTACTTTCAAATAATTTATATGTGTACTTAAGCTGTGAATGTCCAAGAATATATAGCCTGAAAGCTTCAAGTTATAATACTATTTCGTCGTTGAATTATTAATTTGCTTATAAAACATTGAAAATAGCAAAAATTGATTTCATTCCAGCATATGTGGTACATAGGAATAAAGCCATTCAATACAGCATGAAATGCTCCATCATCTGATTTATGTGTATTCAGCTTTATCGGATATCTATAAATATAAATAATAAGAAATAAGAAACTATGATGATATGAAATGGTGGAAGATGAACCTAACTTACTAGGGAACCTTCCAAGGTGCTGGAGCGCTTTTCAATCGGGGTTTCGCGCATCCTGTAGCCCATAGTGTGCTATGTCTATGGTAAAAAAAGTTCGGGTTTCTGGCTTGTTTCTGAGGAGATATCGAGCTCTTAGTGAATTTTCTCTATAGTACGCCTACATTGGCAGCAAAGCTATGCTTTCGAATTTTGACCTGAAACTTTGCCTGCATAAAGGCCTCAGCTAGACTAGTTTGCATAAAAAATTTCAGAAGTTTTGAATAAAGTCTCTAAGATATGAAACTATCAAGGTATAGTCCCTTTTTCATCAATAATATATATAGTATGCATTTTTTTCAAAGCTTCATATCTTAGAGAGACTTTATTCAAAACTTCTGAAATTTTTTATGCAAACTAGTCTAGCTNTATACAATCACTTTATCTTAATATGATTGTTCTTTATCATGGATTTTGGAAAAATATCTTAACTAAAAAGAAACAATGGTATTTAAAAGAAATTAATAATAATGATAAAGAAAATATGAATATTGAAATATTATTTGCTACTGGATGATTATAACGAAATAAATACTGATTAAAGATTTGTAAATACATAGTCTTATGTGTGTTGTTTGTTTATTTAAATATTTATGCTTTTCCTAGTTGTGAAACGATAATAGTGATTGTATACCGAAAAAAGTTTAAACTTATTGTACGAAATTTGAATAAATATTATGAAAATAGCATCGATAAGCAACTTTGTTTTTTCTTTCACTGAAAAAAACATCAGAAGAATAATAGGTAAATTAAGATTGCGTCATAGTTAGACCATATCTACACGAAATCGGTCCTTCAACTTGAACAATCCACTTACGAAAAACAACTTTAGTCATATGAATCAAAAGACAATAAATTTTCTCGTACATTAACGTAATGTTTATTCCTTCGAAAATGCGTATGGTTTTTCGCACATTCACGTGGAAGGTCAATGCAAACAAATAGTAACAAAAATATTTGTTAAGGTTGTTTATACTTTATCTGAGAATTATTTTTTTTAGTCGAAATTATTGTGCTATTAATGATCTTAATCAATCTTGACATTTAAGATAATTTTGTAGAGTTACAATTACTTATGCTGATTAATAGGCTTTTAAAATTTTTTCAGTGTGTAAGTTAATAACGAAACGACTGGCAATATAGACCATTTATAGAACGAAAAGATATTCTACAAGAATAATATTATTAGTTGCAAAGATTTCAATAATTTACCTTGGTTTTTTTTCTTCTTCATATCACGTATTTTGTTACATACGCTTAAGCATTTGGTAGATGCAAACAATCTTATCTTTATTAAATATTGATCTACTTCATGTAACCAACGGACATTTTTTTACTTCTTTCAAATTTATACGATACTAAAGTGTTTTGATCATGCAAGTTGATTCTGATTAGTTGACTTCCATATTTTTCCATATTACATATTCGAATTCATATGACTTATATATAGTTTCAATTGTCTACTTTTTTCCTAGACAAGCAATTGAATTTATTTGAAAGAAACCATTGTGAATCATTCGCTGTAATCTATGTCTTCAGGCAAACCTTCCAGTGTTTTGAGTCAGCTTGTTGACAAAGTAAGACGAATACATTATTCTAATATTCTTCGTTCATTGAATATATCTCTGATTCGTTCTATTTCAGTCTTCGCTTACTGAACAAGCAGCATCAGACGACGTAGCATCTGTAAGATTCTTTATCGATTTGCACAAAACTTATAAGATAAAATAGAATGGATTATTTCACATATTCACATATAGACAATGGTGACGATTGATAAAAAACACAATTTATTTTCAGTTTAAGTGTTGTTTCGAAACCGGAGTGGATTACTGTTGTATCTCATTGAAAAAGAAATTAATGCGTTGCGGAGTGCTTTCTGTTCTTGAAAATGATTACCAATGTGCCTTGGAGTAAAACGAGTCATGCTTTATTATATGGTTCTTAGCTTAACATTAGCTCATGAAATCGAATTTTTCTCTCCAAAAAGTTTTCAGTCATTTTTTTTTTCATAAAACTTTTAAAACATTGACTAATTGTTCTTTTATCAAACGTGGCAACTTCTTGAAAAAGCGTTTACATCGATGGTAAACGATATGAAGTTTCATCACCTACATTATCAATTTAAACATGTTGTGAATGATACTGAAAGAGAGCAGAATTATTCATAAACCCATGAAAATCATGCAGATAGAATGACGTACATGTCATTTTATAGAGAAATCAACGTACAAGATTTTTCTTTCGAAGGCATAATTCACCTTCACTGATGTTTGTAAAAAAAACGAGAGGAATAACAAGAACTATTCAAGGACAAAGCTTTTTAGGTGCTTTTAAACTTGAAAAAAGTAGTTCTATTTATTGTATAAAGTTCAATAACAGTGATGAGAGACTCGTCAACAAATCGATAATTTTCTTGATAGTTCGAATAAATATTGCACCAAAGAGATTTTTGTTTCTATAAATAGTATGATCAAACAAATTTAACTCATGGCGTCATGAATCATGGCGCATCAACTATACGACCAACATTAGAAACAAACCAGCGATTGCCTTCCTCTCATGTGACAATTTCGAAGGCAAAGGGTAACATTTGTCCACGTTGTGAAAAACTTGTCTACTTTGCCGAAGAAGTCAAAGCTGCTGGACAGGTGAGATTTTCAAAAATCTGTTTCTATTTTTGAATTTGTGTATATTATTTAGACATTTCACAAACAATGCTACAAATGTGTGAACTGTAATAAGAGTATTAACGGTGCAGATTACTCGGAACATGATGGTTATTTGTATGATAATAGTAAGATATGCAATCGTGTCATTTCTTATAATAATTTAATTATATTACTTTAGATTGTTATAAACGTTTATTCGCTCCGAAAGGTGTCGGCTATGGGATGGGTGCAGGTGCTTTATCGTCAGGCACTTGAAACGAGCATGAACTCTATCGCATTCCTTGCTATATTATGATTTTATAACGATTGTCAGCTTTTCATTTCTTTCTTTTTCTCAATAATCAATTTTTTTATCATTTGCCATTGGAAAGATTCTGTTTTGGTTTTTATTAAATTTAGATTTTCTCCTGTTAACTGTGATTCATTTTATTCTCTGATTATTGTTTTGTTGTCGAAAAATTCATACATTAGTGTAACTGAAGATTCCTTTCTTTGTCTAAACACAGTAAAATTATTTTAATGATTGGCATGTTTCATCGAAATTATTTTATTAAATAATGAGATTTGAATTGTTTCAAACTATTTAATCTATATAATCTATGAGAATCATTTAGCTCTGGTTCACATTAGTATCTCATCTGTCTGATTCCATTAAGTGATATTGTTTTCAATATCAATGAAACAGCTAAGTTGAATCTACATGCCATTCTTAGTTGTTGATATTAGACTTATTTCATGTAACATACTATCGTTTTAATTGTTGCACATTTTAAATTGTTCTTCATTCAAGATATGATTGAAATAGAGTCAAATCGATTCTGAGGTAACAGTTATAAATCTGAATCATGAGTTATTGTTCTTCTAAGTTAGTTAAGCGAAGTGTGTGAGAATTTGAATGTAGCTGTTGGTGTGGATATTTGTATCTGAGGTAAAACTTGGTGTGAGGGTGTAAGCGTCGGTATGGATGTAGCTTTTCTCTTCTTTTACACCTACACCGCTGTAATGCATGATTGAAATCAATTGTGCAAACATCGAAAGAACCAAAAAAGTGTAATTTTATCTGAACTTTTTACACTGTTCCTTTGGTTCATTTGATAATAGTTCAGTCGTAAAGTTATCATTCATATTGAACGATAAATTAATTAATTCTTTTCATAAAATAGTCGATTATGGAAAAAAGCCTATCTTTCAAACAAAGATGTGTCTCATCCCATGATAACATAGATATTCACAAATAAGACGTATAACTTTTTCTTGTGTTTACATTTTTCTCTGTTAGATAAATTAATCGGCATTACTATACGAACACAAAACGTTTGCTGTTGTTCTGAGAAAAGAAAAACAAAGTATTTTTCAAGATAATAAAAGCTTTCTTTATCTATTGTGTATTGCTGTATGTAACAGTGATATTCACTGTGTACATGCAAGTCTCGATAGCTCATGACTTTTGTTCAAAACGTGTTCAAAGAAAAAAATATCTCTATGAAAGAAGAGTTGTTCCAGTAAATGTGGAGTGTAGGTTACGAGAAGGCTCAAAAGATATAAACACATCTACATCCTACACTCAAATCCTCAAGATAGCTACAACAGCAATATATCCAATGGTTATTTAAATATAAGATAAAGTTAACTGTACGCACATGTTTTCAAAATGAACTGCTTATTTTATCACTAAAGTAACTTTAACAAAGTTATATATACCTATTTATTTTTCGTCATAGAAATTCCTATATTAATATATTCAACGTTCGAAACAATGGAAAAGTGCGAGTCGAATATTGTTTAATGACGTATAAATGTTTGTTGATAAATCATTATTTGGATAGACATCCTCGTTTGAAAGAATAATCGCTCCTATATTAACATTTTCATTAATTAACATTGAATTTGCTGCATTATACACTGTATTCGCGCTGTCCCGCGTAATCCCGTGCCATTTCTCACGCCCAAGCTCGTCGCAAATTTTTGTCTCTTTTTGGTGTATTCTATGCTCTTACAGAGCTCGCTGCACATCAGGATGATGTAAGTACGCGTTCCATAATGCTCTGCGAGATGTAGCACAGGCGTGAGCATGAGCGCAGGACAACGCGGGACGAGTTTAAGGACCTCTGCACTGTACCATCATAAAAAAGAAATCGATGATTATCATTTAACGTTTGTCAATTCCAAGCGATGCCAAATTCTAATGATAGAACTGATGATGCGTTGTTATTTATGTTTATATTTCGATAAGAAACTACACCGCTCACAACTGTTCGCATTTGAATAATAGATTCAGGACGAAGAAGTGATGATCCATTATTAATAAACATGCGAAGATATAATGAAAGTGAATGAGCCGATATTCGTAAAAGATCAGCAGAATAGAGAGTAATACTATAGAATGGAATATAAAGTCTATTAGGAATATTGGTCTAAAGCATTATGTCTTAAAATTATTGAAAGAAAAGATGGTTATATTTTTACCTCGGTAACATCTAATTGTGCTATCGATGGATACTATTCATGTAATTACGATGAATTAAATATATAATATTGAAGTAAATTTGTTCGATTTTCGATATCGAAGAAACAAAAATTCGCTTTCTTGATATTATTACTTTATGGTTTCACAATTCTATCTGTCATATATTGTTTATACGACGTTTTTGCTATTCATTTAACAATCAATACAGCAAAAGCGCTGCCCAACATATGAATAAAATGTAACAGTATCTGGTGAATATGACAACCAATTTGAAGCTTTATGATCCAAATAAGTGAAGCATACTTCAGCTAACTTTGTCTCCGTTAGTACTTTATCATCAGATTGAAAAAAAATGTAGCTTCTACTTCATCATTTCTTTCAATACATGCTGAATGTGGAAGTAATTGAATGTAATGGATACAGTGGATGTGATACATATGGATCTCATGAGAATAAATATTGGTTAATATCTATATCAAGATCAAGAACATTGGATTCTACAAGTTGCCTAACAGCTATTGCCATGAGTGTTTTGGAAATAGATGCTAAAAACAAAAATACAAATTTATCAACGTTCATCAATAGTGTTTGTAAAACAGATTGATAACTAGATGTTTCTTGATAAAATATATCAATAGTATTGACTATTATCATTACAACACCTGGGATATGAGTATCAAGAAGCGATTTCTTGATAAATGATCGAGTTGGACATTATTTACTGTTCACAATAGTAAAGAAAGTAAATATTAATGATACCAACAGCAAATATAACATGATTGAAACTTACTTATTAAATCGTTTGATACTACAATAAATCTTTTGTTTTTGTATGAATAACATACATACATTAAGATCATTCAAATGTCAATCTTTTGTTAAATAAGTATTTCGATCAAGGTCTTCGTATAAAAGATTATTGACTATATGAATTGATTGATGTCAACAAAATCTTGATAAATAAGCGGAAAGTTGGCTTCTATTACTATGTCATTAGATGGAAAACTTCTATTAGGTGTAGAACATATTTGCTGACAATTCAATTATATTTTGATGTTTTAACAAAAGGTTTTTCTCTATCTTTCTTGCGTTCTCTATCAATTTTCTTCTTAAACCAGAGATCACGCTTCTAACCTAAAAAGCTGATTGAAGTAAAAATATTACAATCGAAGTGCTTTATTCCATTTTATTTCGACTATTTCTTATCATTTTCAGCCGCTACTAAAAATATACAAAGACACGATTTGAGCATGATGATAATGAAAACGATAGCCACCATGCTTCCAAGAAGAATTATCTGAACCTGATTTTCACTGAGAACAGGACAAAGAGCACAAATTGACCTAATAAAAGCTGCTAAATTCATTGTTATTGATTCACCATAGGCTATAAAAAGTGACACTATGGTAAATATTCCAAAAAAGATTCAATATTATACATAAACTTTTGATCTCTTTTTGTTTTAGCGTACTACAATGATAATTAATAATACTTTTGTCAAGCTTGCAACGCTTGATATAATTATTGATATAGTGGTAACGTTGGTAAGAGTCATTAGACATTTGTTTCAAATTAGAAAAAGGATCTTAATCATTGATTTTCGCATGTGATTCTATACCATAATGATAGACGAATAATAATATGTGATAACTACATAGGCAAATACGTTAAATATAAATTGTTTAAATTAAAACCATTATAAAGTGTAGTCGATAAACGGTTTGTATTTTGTTTTTGAGTATACTGCAAGTGAAGTCTAAAAAGAATTTCCAATCTCTAGATATACTGAGAAAACACTTAAAATACTAAAACCCTTACATTTGAAATATTCTTTCGATGCTTAATAATTATCAACATGAATCGTCGTCATCATGATACTTTTATGATCTTGTTATTTCGTGTAATTCTAATGTATTGATCTATTCTTAGATTTTTTCAATAAAATTTATCAAAGATATGGTAATTTTAAACTTAAAGACCGCCACGCATCTAAAAATAATCGACTTTGTGGTTCTCACTCTGACATTCACGTTCGTTTTGTGAGCAATAAGATACATTGCGGTGCTAAAGTGTAAAAAATGACCGATCTATTTTATATTTTTTAGAGGGCTGCACAGGTTGTGGATTTGATATTGATTCTCTTAACACGCTATGTTTTTTCTTCTCTGTCGGTATACTATTTGTTAAATTTTTTGTTGCCTATCCTCAAAGGCATCCTCTTGGGATCTCGATGTGAACGAGGGTAACTAATCACGTTGATTCCAAAAATGCTATTTTTTCTACCGAGAGTACTTTTCTTCAAAATTCTTGCGAGATAGATAATATGAATAATGATTTTTTATATTTATTTTACATAGTAAAGATGAATTAACATTATTACTCGTCCTACCGATAACTCTGTTTTCTTTTACTGAACTTGATCCAAACATAAGAATAGAAAAGAATCCACCAAAATAAAATAAAGTTAACCTTTTGCTGTACTGTATATTGGATCACATAGATATATACTGCAATTTTTCTGTTGCATCGACGTTGACAAAGTATTCTTCTTTCTGTTTCGTCTTCGTATTATTTTCAGACAGGATATGTATTTCTAATGCATGTATATGTTGCGGTCAAAATTAAAATACAGTCAAATTTAAAATTTTTTAAGATAAACTCATTTCTGAAACAGAAGAACTTCGATAAAAGGAGACCTCAACAAGTAATGTTGCGCCAAATATCATTAAAGACTCCTGTTAGTTAATCATTTTTTCTACAAATTAGGGTTTTAATTAGTATAATTACATCAAAATATGCCTAATCTTTAGGTTTATATGCTAACAATCTTAAAAAATTCAGATCAATATTATTTCAGGACTATTTGAATTCTAAAATTATCTTCCCGAATCCTCAAAACCTTGTAATAAAAAATTACAGAATAAGTCAGAAACAACAAAAAAAGAACTCTGAAAACTTTGAAGATCGATGTGGTGGCGGGTGTAGATGTGGTTGGGTATGTGTGTAGAACCTGAGGAAGTGAATATGTGCAGCCCACACAGAACACACTACCACACCCACAACCAAACCCACGACCACACCCACAACTACCTCAACATTTACCCACTCACACACTCCATACACACGCACACTCTACCCGAACCCCAGGGAATGCTAATATCATACCTAATTGGTTTTAGAGATCCTAGCATCTGTGAAGTGTCACTATATAGAAGAAATTGTACATCAGTCAATAGAACTAATCAGAATATGTCGGATGATGTGAGTTTTGTCCGTGGCACATTCTGTAGTGCAAATTTTAGAACTACAGTCCTGGTAAAAAATTCTGGGACACTTGAGAATGTTTGTGCAAAATTTTATACTTCGCTCGAGTTAAACTTTATATATATGGCAAGTGTAGTTATTGCTCAAGCTTTCATATTATGTCCTACAAACGCAAAAGTGTGCGTTTATATGACATTATATGAAAGCTTGAGCAATAACTACACTTACCATATATATAAAGTTTAACTCGAGCGAAGTATAAAATTTTGCACAAACATTCTCAAGTGTTCCAGAATTTTTTGCCAGGACTGTATGTGTTTCGTAATTGCTTTTATTTAAGGTTTTGGGAAACTTTTATTTTTTGAGTTTCTTCCAGATGATTCAAAAATGTGTATTATTTAACAGAGCGCATCAATTTGAGCTAAATTCAAAAGGCTTCACATGTGGCACAAGTTGTAGAATGCAGCATTAGATGGGATACTTCTTAGAACCCTTTTTTTTATTAGTTTTGAGAAAATCTGAAGATCTGGTAGATTTTATTGAACACGATGTTATAGACATCACCAGATAGATCTCGTCGAGCTGCGTCAGATGATGTAAATTTTGAAAGTAATACGAATCCTTCTGTTATTTTATATCTCTCTTCCGTCACTTGAACTATTGTTTCATCGAGACATTCCCATAAAATGGGACGGCATTTGAAAGAAATCAGTACTATGATAATATGATGCAGTCAAAACCGCGGTTTATTGTGATATAAGAAAACTAATCTGTGACAAGTTTAATCACAACTTTCTTGAAACCACACTAAGATAAATCTTAATTTTCATTAGTTTTATGCATATTGGCTCAATTAGCATGAACAGCAAAGTCATCTGAAGCTTTTCAACATGTGTTTCTTCTCCTCTAAATGAAGCTTTAAATAGTTGTTTATATCAGTTCGAGCATTGCAATACGATCCAATTAGGTCATTACATTTAATTTGCATGTCATAAACGTTTTTACCGTAACAACTGCGGTTTCTTAAAACGGATTTTTAGACTGCGACACCAGATTATGAGAAACTGTGGTATCGAAAAAAAAACAGATTCAGATTGTGGCTATACTGCGATTTAACTAATCGTGATACTCAACAGTATCGAGTAGTCGTGGTTTATGGGAAAGACTGTGCTGTATACAAGATGGTGAAACACCATGATTTTGATTCAATTTTTTTTCCATCGGAAGTAATGATGAAAAGGGATAATTCAATGGAAAGACAGATTTTTGAATGATTTTATTAATCGACTGATATCATATTTTATATTGATTGTTCACATTTATGCTCAGGTTTGATAACAAAAATTAGTATGAACATCTTCTTTCTCAAGAGTATTAAGAGAGCAACAAATACGACGAGTATTTTAATTTTCACTTATCAAATGTCAAGTTAAAATTTATAAATGTTTCCTGCTGATTTATTAATAAATATGTTACAATTAATAGTTATAATAACGCTGATATTTCAAAAGATCGCAGAGTTTTATAAGTTAATCAATCGAGAAACATTGTTCTGTCTTGACACAACGGCTATTTGGTTCATCATTTTCTCGTACAAAGCCTTCTTCACAGAAACAACCACTGACACATTGTAGTGTGCACGGTTTATTAAGATTCGAATTGATAACGTCTTCACAGGTATCGGGACATGCAGTTCCACATGCTTCAAATATTTCATTAGGTTCGCGACATAGTGTTGATGCATCAACTAAAAATTAAAAATAAAATCTTATCGATCGTTAATCTTCTATTCTGAGACAGTTCTAAACATACTTCGAGCCTGTGTAGTCAGTATAAAAATCAAAACTAAAACTGCAACAATGATGGGAGAACGTAAGAATCTAACCATATTTGAAAATGAGACGACAATCGATGTAGAGAGACGCTTGTGAATATACCTTAATACTATAACGCATGTCTATATATACTGAGATTTACATTGTGGAATGTTATTGAGTTGAAGATAAAAACAGAAAAGAAAATAGGATTAGATAGAAGTTTCTTTTTTTGGCAGCGCAGTATTGACATTACAAGAAAATTTTATTGACGATATTTGATAAAGCAAGCCTCTTCAAATATGAGAGTATACAAAGCAAATAATATATTTGTATTCATTATCATAGGATTTACTTATCTAAGACCAGCGAGTAATAGAAGCTTAAACTAGACGATAAGGTGATTAACATTATACTTGAAGTATTTTCGTAGATAAATTTCATTTTATTTGATTGGCTGTATTGCTTTGGGCACGTCTAGAAAATTCTATTACTAATGTTTATAATGAAAAAGTCATTTCTCTTCGAAATGTTCTAGTACGTTTTTACATTGACAGGAGAAATGTCATTTTTTAACGAATATGAAAAGCATTCATTAACTTTCTAAAATTAATATTTAATATGTTTCCAATAAAGTCGATGCTATATTATTGATATATGATGTACGAATTGTTGCGTTCTTTAACGAAGAAAGTCGTTAGAATGAAAGAAAAAGGAACTTTGTCACTGTACTAACGAAAAAATCCATGGTAATTCATTATTTACATGAAGTTATGCGTAAAACAAAAATAACGAGAAAAAATTGCTACTTGAAGAGTTAATTATGATACTGTCATAAGACTCCCTTTCAAGTTAGTAACGTTTTAGTAAAAGTGAACTCGTGAAGTTTGAAACGTTGAGACATAATAAATGCATAATATTAACAAATGTATCTCTAAAAAGATTGTTGATTATTATATCAATTAAATGTAAAGCTTGGAAATATGACTTTTTATATTTTCTTCAACATAAATAAATTTGCTACATTTTACTATATTTTGTTGCGCATTTATTTGTTAGGATAATACGAATGCAAAGAAGCAGAATAGAACTTATTATATATATTAATAGTTAAGCTATCAAGTGACAGTGTTTTGCAACAATACGAACACTATTTGGTTATTTACTTTTATGTACATAAGTTAAATGACAAAAACAATCTGTTGTATATGGAAATGGACATATTTTCTTCGGATTTGACTTGAAAACATCTTCATAGGTTTTTCGATAAGCGGAGAATTTCACAATCCGTATATTTTGAAAAGTGCACTGCATATCAAGCTTGTGTTACTTGAAATAAATGCAACAAGATACATTACGAATTGAAATCTGCATAGAGATTTATTAGCTATTTTACAGTTGTTTTTAAATTTTTTGAAGTTTTCTTTGAGTTAATAGGATTAATATAAAAATCACAACAATAAACACAAAGGCGATTAGAAAATGTGAGACTTCAACCATATCTGCAATTGAAACGACAATTTATGAAGAAAAAAGAATGTGCATAACTTTGTAATATAATATATATAGGTATTCAGGCAATATATTTATAAATTATTAAGTGGGTGCGTCTTAAAGTATGTAAAGCAAAGAAAGTCAAAACATATGATCCTACATGAATATAACGAAGCATGGTAGTAGTACTGATAGCCAGTAATAATAGCTGGTATAAAAACACTCATGCATTGATGAATATATGAAATAGAGCCTGAATTTCTTTTTATCATATTTATGTCCTTCTTCACTTAAGTGCAAACACAGTGGCTGACAAGAAAACATCTCAAAGAAATCAATAAAATTTTTATATTGAGCCAATTCGAAGCAAGATGATCCCATACTTCTTTATTATAGTGAAAAGCATTTCTCAAATAAATTCATAATTCGTGAGAAATTAAAATCCCATAAATAGACAATGACGTGGATGAACACATGGACTCATTGGATTTCTATTTAAGCGCACAAAAGGTCGGATACAATCACATCCATTTCTGCACATTAAGTTGCATATTTTATTAGGATTTGGCCATCGAATATCATCACATGTATCAGGACATGTTGAAGCACATTCATGATATTGTTCAAATCGACCCCAACATCGACCTAGGACAAATTTATTGATTTTCTTATACTCTTCTCTTTTCAGAAACAAAAACTTTAAGCATCAAACCTGTTGATGTATCCCATAATTGTGCTTGCAAAACTCCAGTTGAAAATATAAGCAATGAAAGAAAAATAAAGCTGAATGAAGATAAGCTCATGTTATTTGTTTGAATAGTAATCGAATGAATGATAAAAAAGAAAATTTGATCTTTTTTATGTCCAATACTTGTGATGCGGGTATAAAATATAATAAAAAAAAAACCTTGTTTTACTTTTATCAATTGAATAGCGAAGAATCATATACAATAATAGGTAACGAAAAACTTAAAACGCATTTCAACTTTGACTTTTACACTTGTTTCTTTTTGCGATGAAATATATTCTCAAAAAAAAAATGAATCTATTATAGAATACGCTCTTATCATTTGATATTGATAAAAACTAGCATAAAAATAAATTTTATTCATACTAAACGAAAAAGAAAATGTTTTGTTAAATATAAAGTTTTTCATTTGTCTAATTATTCTACGCACAAAAAAAAAGAAGAATTAATTCATTATGTCTTTAATAACGATAAGTATAATAAGAACCATATCGACTACTTGATGATGATGATGAAAGATATTTCGAAGGTAATGTATAATCAAAATCACCTTCAGGATTATATTTTGAATAACTATGTGTTACATTATTGTCGGGTAAATCATAAGTATTTGTATAGGTCGCACGAGATCGAGATGGAAGACGAAATGATGAATCATAATTACGTGATCGAAATTCTAATTAGAAGATAAAAAGAAATCCTTAATATAAAAAATAAAATATGATGAAATTTACTAGAACTACTGGTATAAGTCAATCGAGATTTAGCTAATTCATTTTCAACTAAATGTAAACGATTTTGAGTTTGTTCTAATTGTTTTCTTAGTTTAACACTTAAAGCCAATGCTGCATCAGTAATTAATTGTTGTGGAATTAGTTTATTACTTTTACATGCTGCAATTGTTTCTTCGTTAACACGTAAAAAATCGACTTGACTAAGTAATTCTTCTCGTTCCACATTACTTAATTTTGTTGATTTTTCTATATTAAATTAATTTAAAATATTATTTTGAAGGAAAAAACAACATTTTTTACGAACCATTTTTCAGAAGATCATCAACTGCAAGTAAAAGACTATCATATGAATTACGTTGTTCTTTTGGTATACATGAGGCTAATTTAACGAATTGTTCACTTGTAAGTGTACCTCGTTGACGTAGTTGTTCAACATATGAATCAATCAATGTTGATAACTAGAGAATAGAAGTATTTAAAAATTTCTCATATTTTTAATAAAAATCAATTACTTTTTCTAATAGCTGTGGATCTTTAATATGATCTTCTTTATGTTTGCTCACACGTTCTAATAACCGTGTCATAACATCATCAGGAATATTTTCTATACTATCACCAAGATCAGTTGAATCGAGCATTGCTTGTGTAATATAGGACGATAATGTTGGTTCACTTTCACATTTTAATTCTACCGCTTTTTCATAAACTGAATTAAGCCAAACGAGTGAGAATTGTTTGAGAGTATCACCTACTGTTCTAACAATTTCATCGATTATTGTTCGCTTTTCATCAGCAGTTGTTATTGGTATATCTTCTTTTTTTGTAACAGGTGTAAAAGCACTATGTTGTTCTCCTTCATTTTTTCTGGATGATAAACTTATAATTTGTTGTGATTGATTTTGTTCAAGTACATGCATTGTTACATAATGTTTAACAATAGGAACAATAGATCGTTTACTTTCTGTTGGACATAATTTGATTAATTCAACAATCCATTCAAGTGGTAGACGAACTATAATTTCTCGATCGGATTTATTCATTTGTAAGCCGACATCAAAATTTAATAATTCAATGATACATTCAAGACATTTATCAACCATATGTGTTTGTTTAGCCCATGGTTGATATTCACCTGTACATTGTTCAAGAAATAATAATGGAATAGTTAAATCATATTTAGTTCGTGCTTCTAAAATGATTTCATCAAAACGCTTATCAAGTAGTATACTTAATGTATCACATTCAATAAAATATGCTGCTGAACGAAGTGGTACTATATTTTTACGATTGATAGCTATTGGTATTGAATAAAAATAGTCTGCAAGTTGATTAAAAACTTCTGCACCTCCTGGAAAATTATTATCAAGTCGAATAATATATGGCGCTGATGCTGATGCAATTGCTTTCTTGAAATAATTACTTTTTGTAAATAATGGAAATTTATGAAGTTTAAATTCAGTTTTATCTACTATAACTGTAATATCGGATAATTCACCTGTACGACGAAACTTTTCAAAATCCATAGTTTGATGTAAACGATGATTAGATCATCAACTGATGATAATGATGTTGACGATTAAAAAGAAAAAGAAAGAAAATATTGTTCAAACTTGTATAAGTTTCATTATAGTAAAAAAGAAAAAAGAGAAAAGAATGATAAATAAGTCCAACGATTCCTCGTTTATAATGTTCATGCTTAACTATGATTTTAAAAATAAAAAAATTCACCGAAGTTGAACATTCTCGATTCTGTAAAAAGTTTAATATATGCAATGAAATCTTCCATTCTCTTTTCATTTCAAAACGTGGCGTGCTTACTGTTTCGTTCTTTACACGTAAAGCAATAGTACAAATGAAGTTCTGTTTCTTTTTTAAACAAACTCTGATTTGATTTGATGATTATGAGAAGAATGATGCCTCGAAAACAATAGCTACTACTAATATTACTACAATTTTTTCAAATGAAAAAAAAAAAAAGAAAAGAAAATGCATTGTGAGAAAGAACGATCATGGTTTCACAGAGGCTTCAAATTACTACTATGCACAACTACTTGTTGACGAAGAAGAAAAAGTGCGTCGAGTATGATTGACAGTCGTT